GCATCCTTCGAAATGTCGAAGATACATGACACATGTAGGTACATGCGTCCGCGTGTATATATATGTATATATATGCATATATATATATATATATATATATATATACATATATATATGCATATATGTGTGTGTATGTGTATTTGCATATATGTCTTATGTCTTGTGAGTGCCCAAGTCTGTTAATGCCGCCACCCCAACCTATGCGAAGACCTCTTTGCCAAATCGCGCAACAATTGTCGGCCAAAGGCTTTGGGACATTGAGCACCGAAGGTTCCGGGAACCCAAAACCACCAATCACCCAAGAGAGTCTCAGCTCCAAGACTTGCTCCTCGGTCCTCGGGCTCCTGCTGGTCAGCCTGCTTTTTGGCCTTCACCTGCATGGTTTAAGTTGAAGTCATGGCCTGAGGAGACTTGGAGACAGCGGTGTTTGCGGCGTACTGGTATAGGGCACCCCACGGAGTTACGCGGCGTTACTGCTTCGGTCCCACCGGAATCTCCAGCCGCCTTCTCGGCTGCCAGCTGTGCAGAGACCCTTGCCTGGCACTGCCACAAAATCGCAGGAAGGGATGAGCTGCAGGGTCTGTGCCATGACCATGGAGCGTGAGCCTGAGACCGTACCTTCCATTCAACGCACCGAGGCCAGAAAGATTGCTACAGCAACTTGCAAGCGGCATGCCGCAGTCTAAATAAACATAAATAAATAAATCAACCCTAGGTGTTGTCAGGCTCGACAACTGCTAAACCTCGAAACCTACACTCGGGATTATGGAAGCCTGCTCCGTCTTGAGCTGGCTCACCTTGACCTGCGCTAACAACAGCATGTTGGTTGCAGCACACCCCGGCCCTGGTCTTCAGAATGAGATGCAGACAAGTTCACATAAAAGTCTCGGGACTTGGAACCTCAAGGCGAACTTGGCCCCAAAGTAGCTTGTAAGGCACGCCCCAAACAACGCACGACGCGGCAGAACACCAAACGAAACTGTGCGCCTCCAAGGACTTCTGATTCTCGACATCATCCAGCCTGGGTGGAGAGGCGGTTCTTTGCAGTCGGGCCTTCGGGTTTCAACATGGCGAAAAGTGGAAGATCGAGTCGCGCCCATCGCAGCGAATGGACTGGAGGGGAGGGATCACTTGGGCGGCTAGGGGCAAGGTTTGCGAGTCTCGGGCGGGTACTCAGAAGCCTGACGGCCTGAAGCATTGAGCGCTTCCAGGGTTCCGTTTCGGGAGTGTCCTTCCGTGGATGTGAGACTGGGAACCAAACCTTGACCACCGAAACCTTGTCAACCAGCGTGAACCACAGCTTTGACTGAGTCACAGGCGTGGGAAGGCCCATCAGCTCCGATGGAATATCGGCAGACTGAACAAGCTATGCCGCTGAGGGGACGAAAGCCAGCAGGCTTTTAATCTTGCGGGTCTAGGGTTCTCACCAGCTTCTCTAACAACGTTTGAGTTTTGGGGGAGGTGAAAATCGAAGTCTTTGGTTCGACTCATTTCGCAAGTTTTTGGATGCTCTGTGTGCTTCGCGTAGTACCCACCGCTTGCTCTCGACGATCATGTCAGACAATTTTCCTCAAACCAGCTGTTGATGAGTGTTGGGGAGCTGCGTCATGCCTCGAAGGGGTGGAGCGCACAAATAGAATCAGAAGACTCTGGAATCCAGGCTAACCTTCTCCAGCTGCCGTCTGCTGGCGCCTCCTCCACCTTCGGTGTCGAAGCCTTCTGCACAGCCTGGAGAAAGAGGTGGTGCTGCACACAAACGAGACGAAAGCGCCGCGTGTACCCTGTGGGCCCTCGTCCTGAATCACAAAAGGCCGAGCACTGGTGTCCGAGCTTAGCGGCTGTCCGGTCGAAAAACTCGTCGTCGCTCTGATCGTCCCGAGTGTCGTAGAGGGCCTGGGTATTCGGCTGGGGGGGAAACCTCCCGACTCTCTGCATCTCGTCGCCATAAACTTACAGATATCAGCTGCGCAATCTGAAGTCGTGAAAAATCTCGCTGGTCGAACAGGGCAGGCTGGGCTTAATAGAGTATGCTCGATGCCCGTGGGTTTGCATGAAACGCTCTCACAGACCCTACCAGAAGACCTGCGTCTCGCAGAGGCATCAACTAGACAGTAACCAGAAGTCCCGATCTGCCCTTCGTGTTTCAGCTTAAGTCTTACAAACCTCGCTGTCGCTTCAACAAGAAAATCCTTGTCCTTGAGAATGAAGGGGATCCCTGCAAGAAACTCGGTTCCGGGCCGCCGTTCGCTTGCTCACCCGTTCGCTGAAGCCCGCCTCGGAACGTGTTAGCAGTGTCAGGGGAAGTCACGAAAGCACGAGCACCCGCGACATGATCCGGGGTTCCCAGCACGCTTCATCCCCAAGGAGACGAAGAGCGTGTCGGCCTGCCAGAAGACCAGAAATGGGATGCGTGCATCCAAAGCCAGGACCCAAGGCAGTTTTGCTTCTGCGTTAGCACCGTTAGCGTTCTCCCTTGAAGCCTATCCCCCAAGTGCAGAGGCTGCCTCCCTCCCTGTACCCAAACAGTGACCTGCGCTGCAAAGTCTTCCTCGCTCTTCTGGATCCTCGGAAAGGCTCAAGGCACGGGCGGGGGCTGGGGATCCCATCCCCATGAGGACCCCATGGCCGGTTCCCAGCTTCAGCTCCGGGCTTCTCCTCGAGCTTTGCGAGGCGCTCCTCAGGGAAGCAAAGAAAATTTGCCACTTCGAGCTGCATTTGGAAAATCGACTTCGCTTGAAACACGTCCCAAGGGGCCATGTTCTGCGAGCCCATGCCACTATCCGGCAGCTCCTTGGCTTCGGCTGCACACACTCGCAAACGCAGACGATTTCGACAACGGAAGTTTATTGTCGTACGACATTCGAGGACCTTCCGCATGTTGGGGGTTCTGAGCTCCTTCAACACTCGGACAGCACAAAGCCCCAGCGGCATCGATGTCCAGGTTTGCCTGGGCCTTCCTCTGTGCCCGATAAGAAGCTTGGTCCTGGCCCACATGTTCGGTGCTCTCAATCCTTGCTTAGGGCATGAATCTGATTTTGGAGTGTTCTGGGTCGTGAGGCAAAGTGCTTGAGGTGCTGGCTCTTGCGATTTCGGAGTTCACACATTCCACGCACACCGGAGGCACTCTCTGCAGGCTTTTTTTGGCCACACCCAATGCACGGGTCCTCTTGTCGCTGCTTCTCCCTTTGCGCAGGGTCAGCGCAGCGTCCAACCGTCTAACCACAACGAAAACTTCAAAACTCGACAGTGCCGTCAAGCTCAAACTGAGTCCGTCAGAGGGCGCAGCGGAACCCCTGAGTGCATCCCAAGAGCTTGAACAAATTCGCGATCTTCCGCTGCTTTTGCTCAAGCTTCTGCACCATGGCATCCTGACCGCACAACGCTACAAGGCTGAGTTGGGCATAGTTGAGCTTACACTTGGCCATGGCATTGCTTGACGAATGGATCGAAACGGCTCGGGCCTGGAGCGGCTTGCACGGAAACACCGCTTTGACAAGTGAAATTCATTGTCCGTTTTCTGTTGAGGCCCAAGCCTAAACCTCAACGGACGAATCTCCAAGCTCGCTTTGAAGTCCTCAGAACTCCCCCGGCCCCCACTACCGCCACTTGGTCCTGCTTTTGGGTCAGCTGCAGCTCTCTCACCTTCTCCAGGTCGAGCTTCCCGTTGGCCTTTGAACCACAAAACACTCCTTGAGAATGGGATACGGTACTCCTCCAACCCTTAGACTCCAAAGTAGTGGCTCTAAGTGTATTATTCAGGCGAGCTTCATCCAGCAGCTTCTTCGCATCGTCGTGCAGCTCCTAATTAGGAGGGATTGGGCTCCAAGGCTGGCCATCATCACCCCCTCGTCTCCCACCTCCGTGTTGGTTTCCACCGCATCTTCGCCCATTCCCCAGGTCACCTAACTCCAAAGAGGCAGGAGCACCGAAAGGGGCGTGCTATACGCTGCTCACGTGAGAGAAAGCGCGGCCGCGCCTGATGGATGCGCTCTTTGTCAGCTGCCTCCAACTCCTCAAAACCACACTTCCAAGAGGCCACCCGTGGGCATCTCTTGAAATGTACCTCGACTCGAAGCCTCGACTACGACATGCCGAGCTCGTCCTGCATCCGAAGCCTCTAGCCCCGACTCCAATCTGCGAACCGTGGTCCTTCTGCTTTTTCATCCTGTCCTCAGCCTCCGAGAAGCACGGAAATCAAACCGGACGATGGCTTATTCCGTGGCATCCCTCTGGATCACCTAATGCTCCTGGCCTGGCCTAGCGGCCTAGCATTCCTGAAAAATCGACGGCGATATTTTTTATGCGAACTGCCAGGCCAGCTGAACTGCTACGCGAACTGCATGAGTTCGGCTATGTTTCTGTTTACTGGGCATTCTCCCGCTCTCTATGCTCGAAGATGAGCGAGGCTGCTCCAGACCGAGCTCACTACATGCCCTTCGGCGTCCTTGCAGCTGCCTACAAACCTTTCGAAGAGGGTTCTTCTACCCTGGTGGCGTCTTCCCCTTCGTTTAAGTGGGGCATCCTTGCACTCCTTGCTTGGACCACCACCGCTGGCCCATCCTGAACTTTAGAGGCTATGACCCTTTCTGCAAGCGCGTTCTCTCGCCATCGCCACCTCGCACCGTCTGACGTCGTCCCTGGCTTGCGACGAACTAAGAAGGCGATCCTCGCACGCGCCTACTCGCACGCGCCTACTCGCACGCACACGCAAACACACCAAAAGAAATGCACAGTGGTCGGCAAAACCGTCAAAATAAGAGTTTCGGGTCACTAGATCTGACTAGCTTTGAAGGTCAAGACCTCGAAGGGAGGATTAGCAGTCCGCCCTGAAAGACCACATCAGAAGCCCGAGCCTTGGATGCATAGGCTTTCGCCACGGCTTCGCGCTGCGCCTGTCAAGGCTGTAGGGCGCAGGGCTGAAGATCAGTGCTGCGAGTGCAGCAGCAACTTTCACTCATGGCCAAATCCACGATCCGAAAACGGAAGGCCCGGAAGGCTTGAAAGCAACCTCTTATTGCAATAATTGTGGCAGGAACGCCGAAGCGCACATGCCTTAAGCCGCGTCGGCGCGCAACATCGCGCAACATGGTGTTGGGATTTCAGCGCGGGCACATGCGGGCACTCTTCCGACTAGAAGCTTTCCACCTCGAGCTGCATGCGCTTCTTCTTTGCCGCTTTTCGCCTCTCCAAGTCCTTCCGTCCAGACACTCACTCCAAAATCCGCAAGCACCGGCCAGTCTGAGATTCTCGAAGAGAGCCGAGAGTGCCGGTCCTTCAGCATCGCCTGCTCACGCGCGGCGCGCTCCTGGCAGACCCGACCCAGGCTCTCCCTCGTCTCTGACGGCTCTCCTGGCTCTCCCGAAGAGGGCCCAACCTTCGCGGCCTCTTCCCGGAAGGCGCTCAAGTCGATGTCGCCCTCCTCCTCCATCGCCTCCGGCTTTGCGTCTGCTCTGTTGCAGCAGCTTGCCGAAAATCACAACAGCTTCTGTACAGGTCAGCATCTAACAGAGTCAAACCGCGTCTCAGGACCTCTTCTGGACCACAGAGCACAGCGAGAACGTCCCGCACCGAAGGCCTCCAGGAAAGATGAAGATACCGTGGTTTGGATTTCGGGATTGCCATGGATTTGTGGTGAATGGCCCCGGAATCCGAGGATCACCGAAGGGTCGCCACGACAGTCAGACATCTGCGCATTTGGAACGAATGTCGGCTTCCGGAGTTGCAACGGCTCTTGTTACTGCTTGAACTCAAAGCGCTTGCGGTAGGTAGCGTTTCGAACAGGCGCTCTGTCATGCTAGCTGTGAAGGAACCTGGAACTGCACCCAACACCGCCGGCGGCACATGCGCACCCTTCCGGCCCCTTCCCCTCTCTCCACAGAACCGCGCCTGATCGCGTTGAACTTCAACCTTTTGCTCGCAAGGCTTCGGGCGACTTGTGCAGCTTAGACAGTAGTTAAGGCCCAGGGTGCTCATACTTTCGTCGGGGTTCGACGACGAGCCTGGCGCCACTGACATCGGGTTTCGATCTGCGGAAGCAGTGATCGGCCGAATAGCACATCTGATCAGCAACGGTTGTTTTATATGAATATGATGGCTGCTTTCACCACGGCCAGCCAGCAAAAACGCTTCACGAAGCAGCTGGAAGGGTCTGGCTCCTGAGCTCGCAGCTGGCCGCCGATGCGCATGGGCTCAAACTCGACAGCAGAGAGTTAGAAAAGGAGCCCATTTTGGGATGCAAGCAAGGTTTCAAATCTCAAAGTCGCCGAGCTGCCAACTAAATTCACCCAGCAGCTGTAGCAAAAGCTTCAAACTTCCACCACTGACTTCCAATCGCAACTGAACCTCCGACTCTGAAGCCGCTCCTCCGGCCTTGTGGGGGTCGAGCTGCTTGCCGTTCCTTAATGCTTCAACATAAGCGATAGTGGCCCTTTTACATGTCAGGCTTTTGGGGATCTAGGGCCTAGGGTGTCAGACTCTGTGCTCGAGCTTTTGACCGGAGGGCTGATAGCAGTCGCTGCAAGATGTTCGCTGGAATCAAGCCCGTGCCTTTTCTGGGCTGGGTCTGAGCCTTTGGGGTGAACACCTCAGAAGTCAAACGCTGCGGCATACGAGTAGCAGAACGCGCCCTTCTCAGGTGCAACGTCTCAGTCGTCCAAGACAATGCATGAAACTTCCTCAACCTTGCCCAGGAAATAAGCTCAATTCCGAAAGTCTGCTCGGCCCATGCTCCCTGCTCCATTGGCTCCATTGGTCCAGCTTCCTGTTGATTTACACTTCGACTTCTCTAAAGCCGAGCGACAGGACCGTTCCATGGGAACTCTTCAGGTCGTAAACATAGACATCTGGAGATCCCTCCTGGGAAGGCTCGTGCTTTACGGCTTCCGGAATTATGGTGGCACCTCCGCTCGGCCGCTAGACAGCTCCGCACCGATCGAAGACCTTACCAGCAATTCCATTCTCTTCAGGGTCGGAACAAGGACCACTGGCTGCTTCCTTGCAGTGCCCCCACCCCACCAGTATCCAGCCATCATGAAGGCGTCACCCAACCTCTACAGTGTCTACAGCGCAACGAGCGCCAGCCTCGCTTCGTCTCCCCAAATCAACAAAAACCTAGGCAAAGCCGCAAAGCAGCAGAAACACGCGCGCTTTGCGGCTTCGCTGTACTGCGGTCCTTGCACTGCAGCACGCAGTGGTACCTTGAGGCCATCTTCTCGAGGCCCTCCAAAACCACATCGCAGTTCTTCTCGCGGCCTCTGGGGGCACCCCGAAGGCTCCTCTCTAGGGCCCAGAAATTTTGAGAGGTGAACCGTCTTGGAAGCAAGTTGCCCCCCCCCATGCCTTTGTGAAGCTGTCTTCGCATATACTTCGTCTACATCCATGCAGGGGATTGTCTGAGCTGACACTCTGAATCTGCCAGGGAGCCGATAAGAAAGGCGTCGTGCTCGCGGACATCGAGATCCACACGACGCTTCACCTCCAGAGAAAAGCTATGATGACATGAGAAGGTTCGTCGCTCTACACCAGCACCACGAAGAGAAGGGGCACTGGACCGCGCGTGGTTTTGCAGCGAACAAGATGCTTGGATCTAAGGGTTTGGATCGTCTACCGTCTACAGAAGCGGATGAACTTGCAAAAGGTCCAGGAGATCGCTGCGTCTTTATGAGACCCTCAAGCTACTGCACCAGAGCAACTATACCACTGCACTGTTTCGGACCGTCGCCACCAAAATAGCATCAGAGCAGATGGCCTGAGCTGGCGCTCCTCTGAACCATGGGCTTGGGCGGAAGAAGACTCGGCTACTTCTCCAACGTATCCGGCAGCAACAGCCTACTGAGGGCCTGCCTCACCGGCTACGATGAGGTCCAGTGACAGCGTGTCCTCGGCCGTCAGGATTGTGGGACACGAGTACCTGCAAGACCTCCTGCAATCCATCCCAGCAACAGCAAGCAGGGAAGCCCAGGGCTCAACACCGAACATACTCATGGCAAGCCGAAACCCGTAGACCGAATCAGAGGGCATCGCCCCATCCTGTTCAGTCAGGCATCAAAGCAGGGCTTGCCGGCCCAGCTGGGCTTGGCATAGTTGAAGCCCACCCTGCAGAGGGCTACGGAACTTCAGGACATCGGCATGGAAATTGACATCCCGCTTTCTCGGAAGGGGTTGAGCTAAGAAACTAGGACTCGATGAACAAACCACTTCGGCTTCGCTGAGAAGTCGGAGGGCCGTGAAAGGCAGCCTTTACGGTGTAGGGCCCTCAACGGCGTCAATCTAGATGTCCAACAGAGGTACCTAGACTTGGCAAGAACCGCCTCATGTCTCGTGGCCATGCCCTTTTCCAAATCCCGTCACCCCTGAATTTGCCGACTTACAGCTACAGCCTCTGTCTACCCCACACTCCCGAAGAAAACGACCAAGCTCTGAATCAAGCACAAGCCACAAACAAGCCCGCGATGTGCCCGGAATCCAAATAGAACCTAGAACGCATTGCATGTGCTACGAGCGCAACAACTTGGATGTAAGCTTGCTGCACCCCATCCTACACCGCCAAGCCAAATTGTTGAAATCATTCGCCCGAAACTCCAGGCACGTGCTCTTGCTTTTCAATGGCACAAACTTTTGTTGGCTGGCCTGACGCCCTCTGCCATCACTTCACGCCGTGCAGGCAAGTCAAGCAGTCAGGGCTTGAGGCCCTTTGTGCAGGGTTGCAATGGGTTGCAGGTTCAAGGTGCTAGCATGTGGTGTTTGGGGCTCGAGGTTCTCTAAATGCTGCGGGGCGTTTTAGTTTGACGGACGGTCCTCTAGTAGTCTAGTTCGGAAGACTTCAGGAAGTCACGGCAGAGTACTTCCTCGTGGACCTTGCCCCTCGACCCTCACCAATAACCAAAGCCCGAGCCAAACCTCGAGGTCGTGGGTGTGGCTACATTTCCTGGAAAGTCTGCTCAGGACGGAGCTTGGCGTTGGTCTCAAGTCTGAGTTGGGAGCGATGACCCCAATTAAGAAAGTTAAGAAAGTTAAGCCCCAAGAAAAATTGAAAGCTTGGGCAAATCTTGCTCAGTGTTGCGAACCATGTACTGCGCGGCAGCTGAACAATTCTTTACCCACAGCCCTCTCCTGTTGATCGTTGATATCCCAAGATAACCCGATACGCAGCGAGAGTCCAGCCTGCCCTGACAGTTAGCTGGAAGCCCTGAAGAAGTGCTCGTTCGAATGCTTCATTTAGCCTCCGGCACCCACCTTGCCATCAGCAGCGACGGCACTTGATATGACAGTGGCGAGTTGAACAGCTAGGCCAGCTAGGGTTCAGGGTTTAGGGCTTCGAAGTTGGGCTTTGGGTCCGGGCGTGTACCTTGTCCAGAGATGACTGAGGCTAAGCAATGTCTTCATGGCTGGGCTGCCTTTCGTCTTCTGAAACATCGGAGGTAATTGTCACTTCAATCTCGACTTGCACAGTTCGTCGCAATGTCTCGAGCAGCATAGAGATGCCTCATGAAGATACCAGCAGGGATTAGGTGAGATCGTCGATATGTGAGGCTCAGGATGAGGAACAATGTGAGGCTTCGTTGAGGTTCATGCGATCTGCAGGCAGCTTCAAGCCCGAAGGCCTCCTGTAGGCTGCAGCCTTTAGACTCTAGACCCATGCTCTGACAGTGGCAATCCGAACTCATTTTGTGGTTCACTCTGCGATTGCTGTGGATGCTCCTGCTCTTGCCATCTGAAGGACCGTGAGCAAAAGAGGCCCCTCTCAAGCTTGCCAATCCCACAAGCCTTACCCTATGTGACTCTTTGGGATATTGAGCTCTCGAGGCTGGTCCTCTCCTGGCTGGTGCCTTAATTTCTGCAAGGGATCTTCTCGCCTCTCAGAACTCCTCGTCCTCCGCCTCTTTGGCATTCGAGGCCGGTGCCGGTGCCGCTGCGGCTGGCGCCGGGGAGGCGGCCGGGGCGGGTGCCTCCCATGAGGGGCGCAGGACGGACTTGAGGTACCGCGCAGGGATGTTCGCTGCAGGGGCTCTAAGCAGAGACGATTGAAACATTAAAACACCTCGAGGACGAGACCGAATTGAAGCAAAGTGGTTTGTTTCACACCTCCTTGGCGTCGCTGGCCGCCTCCGTTGCTGAGCCCTCCGCCGCCTCCTCTTCACATTGCGATGGAAGCCGGGAGGAGGAGGTTAACTGTGATTAGCTCGAAGTTTCAGGTGCACGAGGAAAATGCCGAGATGCGTATATGGTGCAGCGTAGAGTGCCTGAAACGCCTGAGCCCTAAGCTCCTTGAGTGCGAAACCAAACACAAATCGAAAGCACCCTGCTCAGTCTACCCGAGCCCAGGCGCTCCTCGTCCTTGCGAGCCTGGAGGAACCGAGGGAGGATGAAGTGGAACCTCGCAGGCGCGAAAGCTCGAGACCATTGCGCTTCACTCCAAGCTCCCAATAAACATGCCCGGCGGAACCAGGCCGGGCCGGAGATCGCCTGGGCGAGACGAAGGACTTCGCTGCGCGCAAAGGCTTCATGAGGCTTCTACACAATGCGTCAAATTCTGCTGGGCTACGGCTGTGCCCCACATCCACATCACGTCAATGTAGCGCTCGGACTGCTGGTACTGGCGGCCGGAGAACCTTTGCTGCGTAGCGGCTTCCCTGTCCGTGGTTCTGCGGGGAGTTCTGTGAAGGATTTGTGGGGTTAGAATAGAGACTCCGAAGTGCGGCCCTGTAAGGATTGTGTGAAGTATTGGGAACAAAGACCTGACTGCAGAGCCTGCGCCAAACCTGTGACCTTTTGAAGTGTCTTCGAGGTAGAAGGGCTTAAATCTAACAGCTCAACACATCTTGCCCTGCCCCAAGGCACTACCCAGATCCAAAGAGCGTTTAGCCGCTCACCGCCAAAAGCCCAAGCCTTGCTTGGTCCCCCTATGGCCCCTTTTCCCGGAGTTAGCGGGCGACTGGATGGCGAGGAAGAAGACGCGCTGCCAAGTCAGTCCGATCCTGGGAAGAGCCGAGTTCTCGGAACCATCGGAACACTGGCTTCATTGTTACAGAACGAACCCTGAAGCCTAAATACACAGCTCTCGAGAGGAGCGCAGGTGCCGGCTACACATTCTGGCTTCTCCGTTTGCTCGAAGGGGCTTGCAGGCGCCGTGCTACCGAAAACCTATCACAAGTCTTAAACCTTGGTGTTGCTGCCAGAAGGCAGTAGCTCGCAGAAGATTGATGTGGAGCGTATCGCAGCGCTGCCTCTCTGAAGGCCCAAGTATTTCATTCTGTGCTGGTTCATGATTATGGACACTCAAGATCTTTGGAATGGTCGCGCCCAAACCTTCTCCTGAACAACAAGCTCCTCCGGCCTGATTTGTCGGCGAAAAAATCGATAACGCGCATGACGAAGAACATGAAGACCTTGGCTGTGGGATGGGGCGAGGAGCCTCCGGCCGGAGTTGCAGTCTGTAATGCGTAAGACACGGCGAGGACCACTTGAGCTAAGCCGGCGATACTTCCCGTTTTCATGGGTTTGATCCAGCAACTGGAGATCATCCTCAAAACCCTTGGAACGACTGGGACATCCCGTTCGAACAGTTCGCAGCCAGAGAAAGCGCTTGTCCGCGGAAATCCCACAAAAGGCCCCCGGCTGAGGAGAAGATGGCGAGGAGAATGGCGGAGTTGATATCCGCAGACTGAGTGGGTCAACAACTCTTGGAGTCCAGGGCTGGCGGCTGAAACACACTGGAAGCCTGCCCACCGAAGCCGCTCTGCGCTGTGTAGAAGAGGAACCTCGACCGAAGGCATTGAGTAAAGAAGCTTGTCGGAGTCGTGGAGTGGCAAAGGGGCTGACCTTCGGCTGAGTTATTCCTTGAGAGCTGCTGTCGATTTGGGCAGTGGTGTGGCCGTACCCAAGCAAGCTTCCTGCCCCGCCCATGTACCCTTAAACTAACATTGCAAGCCGAGTCACTGCCACTCCAAACTAAAGAGCGCCATCCAGGCACAGAACATGGCCCTGGCCGCAGCAAACACACGCACCTATTTCGGATCTGAGGCCAATAGCATCATAACCCATGGCTTGGAACTTTGGAGACAAGGGCTTCAAAAGATGCGGGGCAAAGCTCTTGGCAGCTCAGCTGGGCAGAAGTTCCCTACGACACGAATCTAGCAAGTCCGGAAACACGACCCGTCGTGTCCATGAAATGGAAGGAACCAGTGCAGACCACGGCCCCCCTGAGCTTGCTCATGCGATTGCTCCGATTAGCAAGTTCGTGCACTACGGCTTCGCGGATAGATCTTTGCGTGGGCAGTAATCTCCATCACACGGCTTGCAGAGCGGCGCTGCTTGCTGTGTCTGGCGAACATCACATGTGACAACAGTCAGTCCGACTTCCTTGATGCTAAAGCCGGCAAGCACGAGGTTTTTTGGCTCTGGAGCTTTTGGTGTAGCAACGTTTTCCACGTTGCTCATGGGCCTCTCGCCTTGAGTAGTCTTCATGCGGTACTAACGGCAACGGCCCATGCAATCTTGCCATTCTTGCCTTTGGTGCCTCGTCGCATGCCCTTTCAGTCTCTTGGCATCTTCATACCGGTGGCGCTTGCCTGTGTAACCTTCTGTTTGCTCTTCCGGCAAATGTTCAAGCAGCGGTTTGGGTGGAACCAGGCAGCATCATCGCCATTACTCTTTCTGTAGTCATAATGACCCGGCTTGTGTCCAAGCCTCAGACTACCCGACTTGAAATCCGCTGCACTCCAAGCTCTCGACATGATCGACGTGGTCATCTGAGAGAACCGCCGGGCAGTCCAGCTCCTGCAAACGCTGGTCAAGCCGGGCAGCCGGTATGGTTAGACATCAACACCCGGAGATTCAAGAAAACTGATGAAAGCTCGCTGCCACCAACATCAAACCCCAAGACCCAGAGACACCTAAACAGTCCGGCGGTGCCGCTGACCCGGGCCACGCCCCGGTAAGGCCTGTCTGGTGCCCCGAAGCGGTGGACCACACCGATGATGATCTCAAGTGAGCAGGGCTTGAATTGTTAGTAACTGTTAGTATCACTACAATACCTCTATAAGTCTATAACCCTCTATAGACTGCCGAAAGCTTGAGTAGACCCTCTTGGGCAGCCGGGTTGAATCCGAGGGCTCCACGAAGCCAAGGAAGACAGACCTTCGTCTTGCAAAGTCGGCTCGAAGTCGGGGACAGTGCAGGCGTGCATTTCGAGATGCAGGGAATCCCAAAGTTCCGTCTTCGAAGTCCATCGGAAACACCAGCACCGAAACAGCAAGCTCCAAGCTCCCCAAAACTCTTCGAGACGAGTGGCAGCATCGTCCAAAGAAACAGCCATCCGGTTTCCGACCCGGAATACCCTGTCAGGCTTTGCCACTTCATGCAACGGCTAACGCCAAAAAGCATACGGAGAGTGCCCAAAGGTGGAACTGGCTATGTGTGATTTTGATCTGCTGCGGTAAACGGAACCAATTCGGTGCTAGATTCTGCTACCCATCACGAAGCTTCAAGTCGCGAGGAAAGGCGGAGCCCCCCCCCACCCACCTGCGGCCCGGCCATACGTCTTGCTGGGCAGCCTGGGTCATCGACTGGGCTGTTTGGTTCTTTTCGGGATTCCCCAGCCGAAGCCTCACAGGCTCTTGGCGCCGCACCCAGAGATCACGTATCGCACCCACATCGACAAAGCCAGGCCCATGACATAGCCTGCACAGCTTTCAACGAGAATGTTAATGTGTTCGAGGACTCTGTGCGTCCGGGAGGCCAATAGCTTCAGCAAGCTCCGAAACGTTCCAATGCAGAAGCCGGCAGACTTCGGAAGGCCTGCGTATGTCGTCTCGGCCACTTGCCACGCATCTGCCCACTTTTGCTTTTGCTCCTCCGGAATGCTCAGCCTGTTTTCTGGTTCGTGTGCCTTTGTGAGAAGCAGACGCGCGGATTCGGTGACGGTTGTATGAGCCTGCACTTATCGGATGCTCTTGACCGCGCTTCTCTGTCCAGAACGACCCGACAAAATGCATCAGTCCAGTCAAGCAGGCAGAAGCCGTGAACATCCTAGAAAGCCAAGCAGAGCTGTCCCGCGGCGAGGGGCCGTCCGATGCCTCCTCCGAGGCCGCCAAGACCTGAGGGGGGCTTGGCAGGAGGGGCGGGCAAGGATGCTGCTTCAAAGGCTTCGGGTCTGAACATCACCGGTAAATGCCCCAAAGCTGGAGCATCTGATGCTCTGCCAAGCGAGAGGCCACGAAATGGCGGGCCCAGCATGCCCCGAAGCACTGCAGCCTTAGCATCGGCAAACCCTCCCCGAAATCTTCCCAAACCCGGGCTAGTGCTGGCCGGTCAGCACTCAGGCTTGGAGTTGCAGTTTGCCACAGCTCGTCAATTCCAGAACCCCAAGCCCCACGAAAAAACACCCGTCCCTGTGCGAAGAAGCTCTTGCGGCTCCTGCCAAAATGCTCCCGGGCCCTCCGTAAGTGAGGGGCCAAATGATGAAGGTGCAGAGAACCACCTGGCAAAACGGAGGCATGTGGCGACATCTACTTGCGCTTCGGCCAAGGTTTGATTATCTCCTGCCCAAACGACATACTAGCAGGTCTTAAACACTATGCTGGCAATGACAATCAAAAGACTTGCGAGTTCGCCGACTGCACAAGAAGAGGCATGCTGCCAGACTTTATTTTGCTAGGTTGCCGTGACCGGCTGCCTAGAACTTGCAGACTTAGCACACCTTTTTGCAGGTGTGGGCAGCGGCAGTCATGCATGTGTCAATACCTGAAAATCCCAAAAGGAAGCAGGCAACACACCGCCGAAGTTGGCACCCGCCGAGGACTTGAAGGGATCAAGCCTGGCGGCCCGAGGGAAAAAGGAAAGGCGAAAGGAGAGCCATCTGTGAAGACGCGTCTTCCGCTGCCCTAAACCTCCGCCTTGGGCGGAAGAGCTCAGGGCAGCTTTGACCATTTCAGAGGAGAGAAAGCCCTCAAGACTTGAAGCCTGGACTCAAGGATCCTCATCTCAAATCGCAAGAAAGGCTGAAGCGCCGCAGAATGCCATGTAGGGGTAGAGTCTGGGCGAAATAAGACTGGAAGCCCCAGACATCGTGAAACCCTTCTATCAAGCCCAGCTTCGCTTGGCGGCCAAAGGTTGAATGGACAAGGTGCCCAGGCCCCACAACCGCCATGAACACAACAGTTGCAACTCAAGAAGAATGCGACCAGGATGCATCAGCAGCTCGCCGAAAGCATCAGCGGCGCAGAAGGCCGTGAACCAGGAGACAACAGAGCACCACGCCTGGCAAAGTCTTGCTGTAAAGTTTGGAGAGGCAACTGGGGCTTTCAGCTTTCGGAGGCAATTCGCTTGCGTAGAACCGGGTTTGGAGCCGAGCTGCGTAGCTTCTACTTGCAGTTGAGAAATTATTCCATAATGTCTGCGGCAGCATTGAACTTGGAAGACGTCTGAGACTTGACCCATCACTCACCTCGCGGGACTCGTCGTCCACACCTCTGCGAAGCAACACCACAGGCCCCTGAGCAGCGCAGCTCGTCAAGACGCGATGCTGGGATATTCAGTTGGCGGAGGCTTCCGACGTCTTGCCGAGCTTTGTTCCAAAATTGACTGTTTGGAGCACAGAGTCAGAGCATCTCTGTGAGAATCCAAGGCTGATGCGACAGCGCCCGATCGTTTGCACCCCAACCCTAAAGCCGGTTAGCTGACAATGCCAGGCTCCCGGCTACGATCCAAACCACCACATAGCCTGGGCCGCCGACTTGGGAAAAATGCGACAAGGCTTCCCGAAACTCCATGGGTGCGTCTGGCTCTCCAGATGTATCGTGTGTGGCTTGACAGACAGCATCAGCACCCGGAGGCTCAACGCAGGACCTGGCTCCGAAGCCACACAACACAGGCTGATTTCCATGCCGAAACCGCGACAGCTCAGGCATAAATTCCTAGACACCAGAGCTCCAGCCATTGGCAGCTGCTTTTCTTGGTCTCGAAGAGTGGCGGGTCCAGGTCAGCGCCACCCCGGCAGCGCCCTCGTAGCTCGCGCCGGCCTGGAGAGGGATGGGTGCTGACCTGTGTCGCTGCAAGACAGCTGTATCTCCTTGGCATTGCCGCTGTCCCGTCACAGGCCCTATCAACGTCCCGAAACGAAAACGCCATATTGGACTTTCAACACTACTCCTTCAGCACACACACACACACACGTTTGAGCTGATGAGGGTAAAGGGTACAGGGAATTGGGGAGGCAGCGGCACCACACCTGTTGGCAACACGATTCTGGCACGCTGACGTAAATTGTCCGAGCTTTCCGGCGGGTGCATTTGACATCCAGACGCAGCACATCGCACTTGCTTGCAATAGAACATCACCTGCGCTTCCTCCGGATGAATGTAACCTGCGATTTTGGCGACCAAAGAGCTTGAATACATCTGCGTGGGTCCTGGCATCGAGTCTCACCCACTTGCAGTTGTCCGCACTCCGAGCCGCCCGCGATCAAAATCCAGGCCGACTTGGTTGACATGAAAAGGAGCCTCGGCAAGAGCCAGGGTTTAGGGTGGTGGCTCATGGATCACATCCGGACGGTCAGGATGCTTGATGATGTTTTGGATTAAAGTTAGACCACGACCTTAGATCTTGTACCCGCAAGGAGCGTGGAGTCTTGCCTGACTTGCCTGGCTTGGGTTTTCGGGGCTCGGCATCATGCAAGCTGATGCTCCCGGCGCCTGGCTCCCAAAGGCGTCTCCGCACTTCACCCTATTCCTTCAAGCATTGTAAGGGCATCGCATGCTGATGAAAATGGCCACCGCCGACTGGAGAGTGGACCATGCCAGCCTTTTGACCTGAGTGAAACACAAACGGCACAAACGGCAAGCGCAAGTTCAGAAGAGACGAGTCCACCAGCAAGACACACAAGTGCTCCGGGCTGCCAGCATTTACATCTTGGCTGTTGAGCAGGTACAACATCATCCTCAACAGCCACGCTGCATCAAGCTGCAGACACATGCAACCACAACGTCCGGGCTAGCAAGGGGCTCTTAAATCTGAATGCCCGAAAGTCTGACAGAACATCGATCTCCAAGCCTCGAAGAAACTGGGCCCGCGGCAAGAAGAAAGTGAATTCTGCAATAAGAAGTAGTGATGAGGCGGTGCTGGCTGAGGCCTGCCGAGAAGGGATTGCAAATCTTGTGGAATTATTGGGCGGTCCTGTGCGCCACGGCCCGAAACCTTGAGAGCCCTTCCTCAAAAGGAAGGGCTCCACACCCCCACTCAGTTCCCAGCCTGTTGCGACTGCAATGCCGACTGGAGATTCGTCCTTTGGCAGGTCGCGAAGTTGGCACCGTACAGCCGACACCCGAAAGCTCCCCGTCGCCGAGGTGCCAGGTGTCCACTTGGTGCGCTTCGGCAGAGAGGATGGCCTCGCAGCATTTGGGGGCCTCCTTTGGTCCGGTCCTTTCGGGTTTATGCATCCTGTTTTCGGCTTGGCGATAGGAGGTCTGAAGGTCGTAAGCAAGTGCGATCAAGCACTGCGAAAACTTACGGCGACGGCCAACTACTTCCGAGGGCGCCATGGAGTGACAAAAAGCACACAAGGCGAATTGTGCAGAATACAACTCGCGCTTTTTCTGCGACGGGAGGAAGATTTGCCAGCTGTGGAAGATCATGATCGAACACACACACACACACACACACACACACACTTTCTTGCACCCCTTGACCCAAAAAATGACATTTGCTGCGCGTACAGCATTCCACTGCTGCCTCAAAAAAATGGTTCGACGCATTGCACCAAATTGACGGCCTTCAATTTGTCCTGACTCCTCTCACTCTGACCCGCACAGCCACTCCAACGGCAGCATGCGGTGACCTGTGAATGCACCTTAGGTTCTCTTTGGGACCCTTTTCTGGCACGGAAACCGCAGGCATAGCTGCATGTAGATGTTGTCGTTCCAGTAGCTGTTGTGTTGCAAACAGCCAGGTAAGCGCGTCCTCCCTTCGCCAGCTGCGTCCATACTGTTTGCGTCAAGTCATTAAACCAACGCATGCCCTTCACCGCGTTCCTGTCACCATCATTGCCCAAGCATTGGTTATTGTATTTGCTCCTGATCTGGAACCCGTTGCCCGGGAAATTTCTCCCGTCACCTGCCCGAAGCTGAAAACCCCATTGCCGAGAGATCCCACCGTCGCTCTTCATCGCGAACACGTCGGTATTGTCGGTGTTCAAGGTCAAGCACTTGCCAGGATAAGCCACCGAGCTGAGAGTGTAAGCATCATGCTCAGAAAGAGTTGGCCGATTTACAAACGTTTTCGGCAATGTCGGCCACATGCTATCCGAATCATCCTGGGGTGGGAGGAGTTCTTTCCATTCCCACTTCCCAGTGCCAGGCTTGTAAGCATGTGGAAGTCCTTGAAGTCCTTGATTATCTACGGCTCTCAAGCCGTCAAGTGTCTTCCGCTGTCCAGCGCTTTTCACATCGTCCCGATTCCATTTGATCATTGCGGTCTTTACTTCGTTGGGCATGACGTAAAAGCTCAACGGCTTGCGCTGCTGAGGTCTTTCTTTGTACAGCTGCGGAAGCTCCTCGCTATCCAACGTTGAGCTCCCCCCTTATATTCATCGAAAACTATAGCCATCTTTGCCGGACTGCATTGCAGTGCTTCCAGAACCACCTTTGGTCTTTTGCATCTTGCCCATCAAGCACTGTGAGACTTGCATCGAGTCGAGGGTGAAACAGCCTCTCTTTACGTGCCTCGGCAGAGGGTTTTGTGAAGTTACCGCCCACAATGCCGGCAATTTCGCCTGATATGTCCGAAGAAACCCTTGAGAGTTCGCGCGCACATCATCCATCGGGATCTGGCAATTGTACTGCTCGCTTCCCGTCTCGATGCTGTTCATGCAGTCGACCAGCTCTTCGCAATGTTGGACACATTGGTCTTCGTCTTGCTTCCTAATCGTAAGCCTTCACCCCGAGCAATCTGCGCACGGTGGATGTATTGGCCGCGAGGGTCGGACTTGCTTTGAATCTGCGCCACTGGCTCGGCTGGCCGTGCCAAGCACCAAGCAAAGAAGGTGAGTCACAATGACATCATAACAAGACGCAAAACCGTCTCTGAATATACTGGGTGGGATAACGCAAGTCAAAACCTTGCGGTATCGTGTGACTCTCAAGGCAAGTAGCAAACAAAACCATGTCCGACCAAAGCCTTGTGGCCAACATCGAATCAAAGAACTGCTCGGTCCTGTCAGAAAGATCCATTGACCTGTTACCCGGTCTTGCTGTAAGATTTGCAGCGGCATGTCAGGACTATGCTTTTGTCGTGGAATGAGGCTCTTCCACACGGTCACTGATGCTGCGGCATTATGATGCTGCTGAGCTTCAGGTTTGCAGCTGATGTCCCACTGGCAGTTATGCAGTTACATTCGTTCCAAAGCCTTTTCATCGAGTGTGTGTGTGTGTGTGCGAAGTCCTCACAGCACTAAAAGCTGTGTAAAGGCGGCATGGGGCAAGCCTGCTCTGCAGATGAACCTTATTCATCTGCACCGCAACAGCCCCCGAGCACCAAGAAAGCAACGCCTCACCTAAGCAGGTCAATGCGAGCAAGTCATGAGCTACCCGTTGCGGATTTTGTCTCAAAAGGCTGCGTCCCTAAAGTTATAGCTCGTTTGTCGATCTCCGCCGCCATGTTCGAAACGATAGCAAAGTGAGGCAACCTCGCAACGTACATCAAATACGCCCTGGCGACATCAGCAGCCAGCTCCGGGGCGTTAGTGGGAGCACGTAGTTGCAAGAGACCTCGCCGGTCCGCAAGTTCATCACACTTATCCTGGCTTTGCTGGGACGACCTTCAAGATGCGTTGTCTTCACAAACCCTGCCCTCAACCGACAAACAGATGTGCCAAGTGCGGCTGCCAATCCAAGTTCGAAATGGTGGAATCAGTTTCAAAAGGTGGCTCGGTGTCTTCTGGAATGTCGTCAAGTACTGAGGAACCGCACCTGTCGCTGAATGCAAGCGATCCAATCCTTGTGACTTAGACTCGCGCAGCACTTCAAACCCTTGTACTGGCTCAACTGTGCCCCAGGGCTGTGCCGGCTTGCGAAGGAGGCACAGCTTCACAGCTCGGTGTGTAGATATTGTGACCTCGTGTGATCGTGTGGGAAATACCAAGGTACTCTAAGAACACCTCATGTCCTGACGGCATGAACAGGCGCACGAAAAAACCAAGCGACTAGAAACGGGAACGACAAAGTAAATGAGTTGCCTCCCCTTTAGGTCTGCATTACCGACGGAGATTGAAGTAAACTGCAAGGTGGTGAGGATCGTCGCTTTTCGTATTTACCAATTATATCGACAGAAGCCTCCAAGAAGCAACATTTGGGGCATCCATCTGTGGCATCTATGGTCCAGGTTGCTTGGACTGCCTACGAAGTGTTGGGGACGAAACAAGACATGCCACAAGCATGCATCCTTTTGCGTGCTGACTACCCCGATCCCCAGCTTGGCATATTCATTGCTAGCACTCAAAATAATCCGCACTTTCCTGCATAGTACGACTTTCCACTCCGCAGCCCGAAATCAACCTGAAAACTGAACCCATGCCTCTGTCATTAAACCTCGGCGGCCAAGCCTTTGCAATGGTCGGTGACACCTTGGGTTCACCGAAAACGGCCTCCGTGGAGAACTCAGGAGCAAGGAGTGTCGGTCACTTGTTGCCAGGCTTGCAGCCTTTAGATTGAAAACTTACCAAACACACCAAGTGTACCCGAGTCGACCACGAACACCCTCCGAAACCTCGAATTGAAAGCCTGCCACTATTTAGCAAGTGAGGCGGCCTTTGGTGCTTGATGCGCATCTCCATCTGACAGTCAGGGTGGTAAGAGAAAGGCGGCATTGATGGCTTGAAGCAGTGGTTCCGGCAATTTTGGATCGGGGCTTGACAGAGGAACGCCAGGTTGTCCCAAGCTAAATCCTAAACGGCCTAGCCGCCCCGGGTCGGGTTGGGCATCAGGTTTGCACTTTCCAGTGGTTTGGTGAGACGTCGTGCTCCGAGGGTGCACCCCCGTGAGGTCCGGACGAGCATCCAGCTCTAACGCCGCCTCCTGGCGTTAGCTGAGGCTTGGCCCTCCGATGGGACGGTGACGTGGAAGCGTTGCAGACTAACAGTGTTTACCGCCATGCTGAGGATTTCATGTGGGTTTTTGCAGATTGCTCTGCGAGCGATACTGTACTGGCTCACAGCCAGCCTCCGCCTCCTAGCATGCACTGGTGCGCGCTGCCCGATTAAGTCTTCCACAAGCAATCCTCCATCGACATGCACAACCTCCGAATGTAGGAAACTTAGATTCAGCAGCCGCGAATAATCACGACTTAAAGTTCGATCTGAATCATTCAGCTGCGCTACCTAAACCCAATGTCCTCGTGTTCGCGCCGGATCCAGGGTTTGAGGCTCGCCCGACCCTCCTCCCGGTGTACCTGCGCAGGCATCGCAAGCTCAGGTGTCTGTAATCTTGTGGGGCCCGCCCCGTTTCGCCACGGTGGAAAAGAACAAAGTCCCCAAACCCACAGCAACTCAAGTCACGATCCCAGGACCCAAAATGATAAATGTAAACTACATTCTTCAAGCCCGACACTCACTTCGTGTCGCCAGGCAGGTGTTGCAATACCAAGTATTCTATTATGATTTGCGCCAAACCGAGCCCTATAAGCTTCAAGAACCATGCAAGAAGGCCTGTCCGCTTGGGCCAACCACGGCGTGACCTTCAACGGGAGGTTGGTCTCGACTGGGTTGGGAATTGGGATAGGAAGAGTTGGAATTGGTGGTTCGAACGCAGGCAAATATCACTGGTTGCAGTCAGAGTGCATCTAGGGCGTAGGGAAGAAGCTTCGGGCTTCGAGTGCTCAAGTTGCCTGAATCCGAAGCATGTGGGGGGGTCTTTCAAATCATGGCACACCCCAAGAACAGGGCGGATAGGGTATGGGCAACGAGATCAACAACCCGCTGGTATCTTGCTAGGTCCAACAGCACAGATTGAAATCTAGTGAATCCAGAGGCCGCCTGTTGCGTGACGTGTTCCCCACCAGAGCCTGGGAGAGCACTTAATATTAATACATATATATATATATATATATATTTTTTGATTTGTTTATACACACACACATATATATATATATATATATATATGTATGTATGCATATTGGAATGATTTGGATTGCAGGATGCTCGGGCTCAGGTTGATGGGCTGGAACCCCAAAGCGACGGAACAGGCGAGTTTGGGCTCGGACTCTGAATTTGCGAGTGCACGCGAGCGAAAAGCTAGGCTCGGGCCCGGGCAATATGGATGAACCTTGGCACGTTTCAGATTTCCTGGAAATATCTGAGGACAAGCGACAACAACCCGTTGAAAAGGATCTGCCTCTTATAGCTAGATCGAAAAGGGACTGTCGGATGCCAGACGAGTCCACTTGCCAACAAAGGATACGAAATCCGGAAACCCTAGATCTCCCCCAAACCGAAGGATTGCAACCAAGATTAACCCCGGTGCAGGCATCACCCAAAAAAATCGGGTCGTGTCTGGAAGGATCTGGTGTCACAGCCCTGCGGCGAGGCCCAAATCGAAGTGGCCGCTTGTTGCCCAAGCCCCGGAAAGTGAAGCAGGTCCCAAATCGCAGGAGCCAGACTAGGCTTTGGCTTTCGAGCCTCATGAAAGACAGTGTTGTTCAAGTTTGCTCCCGAAACAGTGTGGTCTCGCTGGGGGATTCTTACGTTCAGAGTGAGATGGAGTTTGTTGGTACCAAACCATCCAAACTTCCGGTGGGTTAGTGTTCCACACCTCCCGCCACAACACCGTTTGTGTGTTGGTGTATTTTGGGGTGGATAGCGCGCTCCTGCCGGCTATCAAATCGCTCGAAAACGCAAGAGTCCTAGCAGGGCCTCGGGTCACGGTCCTTGGTCTGGGGAGCCTGGTGGTGGGGCTTGGACTCCTAGGCGCTCTTTCACTCCTTGGCGTCTACATTGGTAGAAGTACCTTGCCCCACATCTGTACTATACTGTACACTCATTGAACACTCGAAGGTTTGAGGGGAAATTCACGCACGTCGGTGCTGTATCGAAAGGCGTGAGGCGGATACTGCAGGAACGAAGCCGGAGGTCTAGGACGACGCAGCTGAAGCCAGCGAGGGCCCTATGTGTACTTACTAAAACTCTTCTTCCAGTAACCTGATGCCTGAGCTCCATGCACCAAATCTTGATCATGAGGTCTCGAGACCTGACTTGACCCGCATCGGACCGGTGGCCTTTGTACACAGCTGCCAAACAGCCGAAAGCTTGTGCGAGTGCAAAAAGGAATCTACGGTGTGAGGGGCATCGAGGGGTCAGAGCAGACCGCTCCCGGGACGTGCCTTCGCCAAATATGGAGCCTGGTGAATTGTCCAAACAATCGGACAGCGGAACGCCGCTCTTGAGCCAGCGAGATCAGCACAGCCGATGCAATCCGAAGTACCTATTGGTGTCGTCGTCATCGTCATCATCACCATCGTCGTCACCATCAGCATCACCAACAATAAGCACAACACCATCGTCATCGTCATCGCAGTTGTCATCATGATAAGCATCAGCAGCAGCAGCATGTTCTTGCTGTTCTTTGCCAGCATCTTCACCATCAGTTTCATCATCCTCGTCGTCGTCGTCGTCATCAGCATCAGCATCAGCATCAGCATCAGCATCAGCTTCAGCTTCAGCTTCAGCATCATCATCATCACCATCATCATCGTCACCATCATCACCGCCATCATCACCATCACCATCGCCATCATCATCTCCATCATCATCGCCACATCACCATCACCATCACTAGCCTCATCCTCGTCACCATAACCGACATTCATCATCATCATCATCATCATCATCATTGACGGGGGTCGCGGTAGTCGATCAACGAATGAAGTAGCTGGCCCAGATAAGTTCAGACTCTGGTTTTACCATGGCTTTTGTGCTTGGTCACAGCTGGGCATGAACTACCTACCTACCACCCGTACAGATACTCAAAGAAGACGCATGACTCCGCAGGCCAACGACGCCCTCTTTTACTCTTCAACAGGTGCGCCTTCCCTGAAGCGTCAGCTGATTTTGTGTCTAGTTTCAATCCGTTTGGGAACACTTGGAAAGTCGCCGTCGGCGGTAAGGGGACAAGAGCACGGCAGCAGAGCGTCTACCCTCCGGACGGACAGCGGCACTGTACAGCCCATATCCAGGGCATGCCAAACAAATTAGCACTCCTTAGCACTTCTGAGCTGTGACAGTTGGAGGTGCAAGCAGCTGCAGTCTCGCCATGTCAAAGCACAAAAGTGGAGGCTTGCCTTGGCAGCTTTCCCACATGGGCTGAGATGGCCGCGGCTGCGGAAGACTACGCTTCTGTCTCTGAGCGAATGAAAGTTTTGCCCCAACGCTTGGTCCGGGTCCGCCCCAAGGCAGTGCTGGCAGTGCTGCGCAGGTTTCTTGCAAGCAGCTTCTGCCACCGATCAAGTCTTGAAAAATGCATTTTCTGGCGTCTCTACACATCTGCTATGGCATATTCGATACAGGGCTCATGCCCCCGCCCATGCGCTTCCCTTCCCAGCCTCTGACTGGCATGGGAAGCCGCCCGAGGGCCTGGCCATCCCCATCCCCGCAAGTCGGAGAGGGCTTTTGTGCCTTCAAAGGCCACCCCAAGGCCCAAGCACAGGAGCACCCTCTTCAAGGGGCCCAGCACCATAAAACTTATCCGAGCTGAGACGAGCGACATTCACGCTACTCGCTGGTCTCAGAGCTCGTGGCTTCAGCGGTTGCCAGAAGCCTGGAAGTGTCCTGAGCTACCAAGGGTGATAACGACTGGAGCTCCCACGGACCTGGTCTGCCATCTCTTTCAACTTCAGATTCACGATCCCCAGATAGCTCAAACCAAACCCCCACCTGCAACACCCACCTTGCAGACGCAGAGATCTTTCAATGCGACGTCGGCAGAACCCTCACACGCAACCTCATACTCGCGAGACTCCAGCTTTGCACGTTGATCTAAGTCGTGCGGCGGTCTTTTGGGCTCTCTGGTTAAGAAGATGGCAGGTGTGGTAGATGGGGTACTGTCCAAGTGACAAGCCCAAAGTCCACAAACGCACGAATCAGCCCAGGCACGATCCCTAAATCGCTGCACAAGAGCGCTGTCGCCAACGTCACACAGGACGTTCGAGGCACCCAAATGCAGCTTTGTCTGGGACAACCTCGGAAATCACAGGATCAGGAACACAAGATGGAAAGCTCTAAGCTTTAGAAGATGACACCTTGGTTGACGCAGTTTGGGCTGCGTCACGATGAGCAAATGCTAAAGCGAAGGATCAAATTGCGCCTATACGGTCGCAAGGAGAGAAGCGCCAACAACGCTAGCGGTAGTTGTAGCAGAATTATCGCCGAAGTCGCTCCAAAGTTCCAAAGGTTTTTGGAAGGTATACGTGTCTTCCGCATCCTCGTGAAACGGCAGCCATCCATCCTCAGGTCTGGCTAGTTGCTTGTCGACCAGATATGCAAGAACACTACATCATCGTCCGAGCCTTAGTTTCCCTGGTGCTTTGTTGGGGGTGTAAGGGACGGGGGGAATGGCGACCATGCCCAAAATACTGTACTGGCTATTTACACATCGCCTCGTGCGAGCATGCCCAAACCAGTGGCATTCACAGCGCTGCGACATTCGACTTTTCTGGCATAAGACGCACTGCCACAAGCGTGAAGCTTTGTGTGGGCATGCCCAAAGCACTATATGTGCAGCATTAGTACCTCTTTGCACAACATAGTGCACAACGATATGGTCGTGGCGAGGATGATGAACCCATACTATCATCAACCTCTCTTTAAAAGAATTAGTTTTTAGAAGTCTTAGAGACCTCCCATGTTCATAAGTCCCGCGCGTGCCACTCAAAACGTGCTTGCAACAGCCAAAAATGCCGAGGGAAGAAAGGCGCGTCAAACCTATTAGTTACGTGCTCGATAAAGGGCAAAGGATCGGTGTACGACCGTTCGGTTGCGGAAAGGATTGGGCGGGGAAAGGTGATAGGATACGTTGACGTATTTCGGGCTGATCTCCTGGCCACCTTTCTCAATGCCAGACATCTTTGAGCACATCTGTGTCAGCCGCGAAGCCAATGCGTCGATATCTGCATCACGGACGTGTTCAACTTCAATGATGCTCAGCAGCAGTTGCGCAAAACCATACCCGAGAAAATCTGCATGCTGAGTCTTTCTAGACCTCTGAAAAAGGAATCTTCAACCCTGGAATCAGCCTTGAGGCCTAGTAGTCGGCACGCCTTGGGCTCGGGCAATCTGTAGGGGACAGATTACAAAGGTCGAAATTTTCCAAAGCCCGGGCGCCTTCCTCGAATTCCGCAACTGCCGTGCATTGGCCCTGGTGCAGGTTATGCACGAAACTGGTCGAACTCCCCATATACGAGAACAACACTCTACCATACTCTACGCAACCATTACTATCGGTACTATCGTCATCGTGGCTGCCATCACCATCAGCGTCAGCAGCAGCAGCTTCAGCATCGGCATTCGCACCATAATCATCATCATCATCATCACCATCACTAGGAACATCATCCGACACACCTCAAGCAGCAGGCCGCAACAACGACAATAACGAAATGATGATGATGATGATGATTGTGATGATTGTGATGATGATGATGATGAAGAAGAAGATGATGATGATGATGGTGACGATGATGATGATGATGGCGACGATGACGATGACGATGATGACGATGATGATGATGATGGCGTCGATGACGATGATGATGATGATGATGATGGCGACTCATCATCTGTATCGTCCATCCATCCATCCAGCCAGCCAACCCGCCAGGTCGCGAGCCATCTTCTGAAATCCATCATGTCTTGTCAAAATCCTCGTCACGACCACCATCATCACCATCATCATCATCCTTCCGTGACCACAATTTGCTGCAATCGGGGCTGCTGCGAACCCGAGATGAGATGAATCGTCACACCAGGCAACCGTATATGCGCGCCACCCTTCAAAGACGAACCGGCAGCTTCAGCGGCACTTGCCTTCAGTGCCGCCTCTTCCGTGGGGAAAGGCACTGTGTAGTCCTCGTGAGGCTTGTCACGACAAGTTGTGGAAGGTTGCACTTGATGGGGCTGCTGTGTGCTCGCAGTACTTCGGATTTCAGGACTGATGTCGATGCAATGGAAGATTAGGCATCGCGAGAATACGACCTATCGTGCCGAAAGAAGAACAGGACCAGCAAGCCCACAACTGGACTTAGACTAGACGTGCTAAACCCTAAATGCAGCTCCGTTGCACCAAGGTATCGTACTTCCCACGCTGCCATGGTGGCCGCACACCATTCCTGCAGCGGGCAGGGAGGGCAATATGTGGGCTTGCGACGAAACTTATGTTCCTTTTCTACTTGCTCTAGCTTGCCTAGCTACGCATGTCCGCATCATCCACGTCGCTTGTGCATGCATTCTGTGTCTCTCCCCCTCTCTGCTCACAGCCTAGGGTTGGTCTAGAAGCAAGTGGCGCGCATCCTTCGATGTTACAGCAGTTCGCGCTTGAGGCTCGCAGCAGAAGGTCATCCCAAACAACGGCTTCTTGTGAGCATGCGGACTAAACATTCAGACTGTCGGTCCTCGCAGCGTTGAGGTTGCACAGCGTGGTGTGGATGATGCTTCGCAAGGCTTCCTTCGTGAACCAGGCCTCCCGATGCTGCGAAGGAGCGAAGGGGCGAAGCGGCACAAGCGCAGGCGAAGCAGGCGAAGCCAGGCCTGGTGCGATGTGACCACCACATTGTTGAAGCCGATGAGCGTCATCAGATCGTCGCTCTGTATCTGGGGCGCGCTGGCGTGCTCTGTGCTCTTTCTGCGGGTCTGTGTTGGCTTGTTGGCACCCGTCACTCAAGCATCGCTGATTGGAGCTTTGAGTCTCGTCGAAGAGCTTGCGGCTAAACTGCACGACTGCACGGCCACAGTTACATGACTGATTTGATACCATGCTCGAGCAGCTGGAACCGTGTCTAAAACCTTGCCCAATGACTATGCTACAGTGTCTGAACGACCTGAGGTGTGGAATTGCAGGGTTCTGTCTTGAATTCACAGCTTCGCGGCGTCTAGCAAGCCAAATCGCTAAGCATCGGATGATTGACCGTCTGTCGTAACTGAAGCTGGCTTCATGCGAGGGCGCACAACTGAAGCCGAGGAGCGACTTTGTTGCTCCAATCCCGGTGAAAGTACTCGCCTTCCTGCACGGGGGCCGGAACTCTTCCATCGCATGGGGAGCGCGGCCCTCAATCCCAGAAGCCACGCCGCTCACCTGCGGGACCTAACAGGACCTAACACCCAATGCTTGACTCAGCCTTCACGCCCTCGAGCCTGCCAGAGACCCCTGCACCCTCGGCCCCTGCCACCTCAGCTACGACATCCAGGCCGGCTCCGCCAACGATGCCTCAGAGCTTTACACCGCTTGAAATATGAGAACTTGTGAGTTGTGGGCAGAAAGGCCTTGCTGTAAATAGGAGCGTCGTCTGTGTCGGGTGCCCAGCGATAGCGACAACAGCCGATGGCTACTGGCCCTTACTCAGCTTCACAACCTCCATCCCTCAACTAGGAATTGAGAAAAAACGGTGTTCACCCAGCCTTGTCGGAGGCCGTCGATGAGAGCTCTCGTGTCAATCAGCCCACCGCGGGACACGTTCACCAGAATCACACCTTGACGACTGCAGACTGGTGCTGGAAGGAGTTGGGGGTCTGCGAGCGAGTCTTCCGGACCGAATCAGTCTTTCAGCCTCGGGCGAGGTCTTCCCCTCAGTTTTGCTTGGCCTGCCTGCAACGCCCCTACCCAAACTCTCCCGCAGACCTCAACAGCTAAACTGACAAACCAAGACTGTCTTTTCTCCATCAGCCGAAAGGAACACAGAGATGTCCAGCTCATAAACTCGCTTCTAGAGCCAACTTCCCGAAGCCCAGGCAAAGACCTCGCTTCATCTTGGCAATGGCGTCGGCGTTGATAAGCTTGGCCTGGGATTCTCTGAGCCATGTGACATCCTGGGCTCTTCGCCGACACCTGGGCCTGCCTCCTTCTCCCTATGTCTGGGAAGGCACTGTCTCGCGCAGCAGCGGCACATGCAAGCAGATGATGTCGCTCGTTCGGAGTAGCTCCTCCAAGGACCTCAGCAGCAACCCCAGCGCGGTCGCTCTGCACGCCGTCTGTTCCAGGTGCAACCCCACGCCAAGCCGCACGTAGGGAATGCCGAGGCCAGCCGGCGGCGCGTCACGAACCAACTCGTTCCTGGCAGCTCTTGGAGTGATGGCTTCGGTCGTTTCTGGGCTGCCAGGCTTCACGAAGTCATGGAAATCAAGACCAACTCAACGCATACTATACAACTGAGGTCGGAAGGAGCTGATGATGTCTCCAACCCTCGTACGAGTAGCTGCTGTGGAGTCTGTTGCAGTGGTTGAAGCATCGAGGCGTGTGGACACAACAAACTGTGCCCAGCTTCTCTTCGATGTCATGTGCAATGACATCGCAGCGGTATCCTGGGCTGAGTGCTTGAAAGCTTCGTCCCGAGCGTCTGTAGAGACTCACTCCCAAGTTCCCAGCATGCCAAGGCCAAGCCACCATTCTTGAAGATTCGAGCGGCCACACACCCTGTGCGTCCGGTGCCGATGATACCGACCTGGGATTCAGTGAACTGGCGGGCCATTGCAGAAGCTTTTATCATAGCCAGCGGCGCCGAAACAGAACTTGGGGAGGCCCCTGACCGAAGTGCAACAGCCCTTGCCTTCTTGCCCACCATGTCAAAGCCGAGGAGGCCGTTCAGGGTGAAGTTCGAGCGCCGGGTGCCCTCTGTGGCCTCTTGTTTGAAGTTCTGATGGAGGCAGGTAGCCCGTCCCTCCCCGCCTGCGGGATGCTGCGGTTCACCGACGTGGCCAGGGCCACGGCATGCTCACCGGAGCCAAAGGCCGAGTACGCAGGGACCCTGGCGAGTCCAAAACACTTCTGGTGACTGCGCAAGAGCGGCGCGGCCTGGCGATGGCTAAGCCCAGCTCGTCGGCCGTCTCCTGCGCGAGGGAGCGGGGCCGGCGGGGCCCCTAAGGCACTTTCGGGAACCCTCGCTGAGAAGTTCGGAGAAGTTCGGTGCCACTCCCCGAGCCGCTCCACGTCCACGTTGTTGAATCCGCTACAGCGCAGCGCGACCATCTTCACCCCGAACTCCTTGTAGCTTGGCTCATGTTATCCTGAACCTCGGCCTCAGGAGGGTCATGTGGCTTTGTGGCTATCAACTGTGGCCACAGTGCTAGTTTGGTCTTGAGATGTCTTGAGAGATGTTCGTGACAGTTTGCTTGCATCCAAACCGGTGCACTCAAAGAGCATTCAGAACAACGGAATTCTCGTAACTGTTCGTGAATTTTGTTGATTTTGTTGACACTGTCGTCGCATCCAAGCAGATGCTCCCAACAGGGTTCAGTACCACATCTCACCACGAGAGTTCGTGACAGTGTCGTTGCATCCACCGCAAAACGTGAACTGCGAAACCCAAGCTTTACGCCACAAGCTGTGAACATCCCATACCAGACCTAAGAGGTTGCTGGTGGCTCTAAGCTACGCATAGCTACGCCACACGTGCAAGGTACTGCCGAACAGGAATCCTGTCGCCTTCGCGCTTCGTCTGCGTCCCCCAAGCTCATTAGGTTGCTTTCTGTTGACTGGCAGCCGTCTGGTGTCTTCCAACCAGATGACACAAACACGTCGCGCTTGCACAATGCTGGAAACACTCCCAGCGCTCGTCCAAAACCACCCCAGAATGAACATTACACAATGCCTCGGTCCAACTCCAACTCCGGGCCTTCAGTGTGGCCAGGATCTCCGCAGAACAGTCGTCATGAACCTAGCTGCCGCTGTAATCGTATTGGTCAAAAGCTTGCTGAGCTCTTCAGAGGCTTGACTTGCTTTCCTTGCAAGGGGCCCTGCCGGCCCACAGTCTCCGAATCTGCAACGGAAACACGCTAATAATCACACAAAGAAGGTTCCATTGCCGAAGCCGAGTCGGATCTCACCGAATCTGCAAGCCCAGGCACGAAGACGCAGACCTGGGCCAGAGGAGGGGGGTCATTGTGAAGCCCGCGTCTGTCGCTCGCAGCTCTCCGCTTCTCAGACCGCTCGCAGTGCCCAGATGCCCAGATTAGAGCAAGGTTTCTCTGACACTCCGGGCCCTCCCGCCGCATCGGCGCCCTTCGCCTGCTCGACTGTCTCAGGGCACAGGGCGGCCTCACGGGCACACGGCTGAAGAGTTTACAGGCTCTCGCCTGTAGAATGCCGCTCAGGATGTTGAAACCAGCTGGAGCTTGCGGCTTAGAGAGAGAGGGTTGGCTGCTGGCTGTGGAATTGTTGAGTGGGACCTCGTGGCTTCATGGTGTAGCGTAGTGTACCGCTTGCATCTACGCCAAGCCCCGAACTCCAAGCACGTACCCTTCAATTTGCGAGGAACCAAAACCTGCACGCATGAAGGGCTTCCAAACGACATCGGTGGCTTACATGCCCTTCTTCCGGCTCGGTCCGGGACCTTGAAGAACTGGAAAGTAATGTTCGCATCAAACTCCTGCATGAGGGCACTCGGGAAGCACAACGGACAGCAAGAAAAGAAAAACAAGTGCTATAATGTTGTACTGCCAGGCTCAAGACCTCATCGTAGGCCTCAAACCCAGAATCTCGAAGCCCTGAGCCTCAGGCATTTAGAAAACCGTCGTGCAGAAATGTCTACCTCCTGCAGTAAATGCTCAGCCCTAGAAAGGAATGCGGAATGACTGCACAGTTGTAGAGGCTGCGAGGAAGTTCTCCTCGTTCATCTTCTCGTAAACCTCCTTGTCGTGCGGCATTGCAGAGTAGAAAGCCACCTGGGTGGGCTGGCTTTTTCGCATGACACCACCCTTGTACGCCTTACTGACATGATGCTCTTCCGCCATAGTGTTAATATACTTCCTTTGTTCAACGAATTCGCAAATTTCGCACGGACGAAGATTCCTGAACCAAGATGCACACTTGCATGCGCTCGAGCAATCAAGGAGTCATGGCACCACAAACACACGTGCATATTCGTGCACAGGCATAGAGACGCGTACGCACATCCGACTTTCTATCTTCTTTCTATCGTAGGTTTAGTTACAGCACAGTTGGCGCCCAAAATGCTTCGCTAGAACGGACAACCCGGCAGACCCACTTGTCCAGGCCACACGAAAGGGGCGCGAGTGCGCGTTCTCCAAGGCCGGAAGGTCTTTCTCCTGCAACGAACCGTCAGCGTCGGGCTTCGGCGGATTTCTTTCACAGAGGTCCTTCAGCTCTGGACCAGGTGCCGGAAGCTCCTTCCTAGCGCCAGAGCAGTTGCGAGCTTATGGTTCTGCATTGCTTTTTGCAAGGCTTTTTTGCAAGCCTTCCAGAGCGTGCTCTAGACCGTTCGAGCAGGGACCCCTCCCCAGCTCCACACCTGAATCTTCAACCCGAGGCACATGAAAGCCATTCGCTGGCTCCGCTCTTGATGACGGGTTGGAGGGTACCCACCTCTCAACGCGCCGTTCACACTTGCGTGGAGGCTTATGGATACCGCAGCAATCAGCCGGAGGCTGTCACGAGAGGCCCGAGATTCAGAATCCCAACTGCCAAAGACCTAGACAACCTGAACCCGGTCGGACCCCCAACCCCGCAGCTTTGATTAGAAGCTCGCCTTTTGCGCTGTCCTTGGGCGCCTCTGGTGGAAGACAGACCTGTGAGCTATCGGCATTTGCAATTCTTCACCTTAGAGTGCTTGGGCGTTTTGCAGTAGATTGAACTGAAGACATCCCCAGACCCGAATCCCACGCTTCCTCCAAGCCGGTGCAAACTTAGCGCAAACCCTTAACCTTCAGTGAATCGCCTAAGTCACGTCAGCGAGCCTTGCATTGTCGATAATCGATGTAGCTCTTCAACAGTAACAGAGTAACACCCTCAACACATCTCCACGCAAATCCTCGGCAGTTCTCTCAGTTCCGAAAGCGCAAAGCCGGTTCTTCAGTCCCTTCCTCAGAAAACACTGGAGAACCCTCTGTCTTTGCAGCGCTGCAGTGTCCAGCACTCCATTCTGCTTCGGCGGCCCCGTGCACTCTCGAACACCTGCCGCATTGGCGTGTTGGGAACTGTCGCTTTGACAGACATTGGTGCTGGTCTTATTGTGTGCGAATATCCTGACCGGCTGCTATGTGAAACAATCTGGCAGATATGACAAGTAATACCGTACGACGACTACGACTGCGACGACGACGACGACGACGACGACGGCGGCGGCGGCGGCGGCGGCGGCGGCGATGACTCCCTGATACTGTTACTTACTGCTACTGCCACTGCTACTGCTACTACGACCACCACCACCACCACCACCACCACTGCGACTGCGACTGCGACTGCGACTGCCACTAGCACTACCAGGACGACTACGACTATCTACGAATACCTGGACGATGACGACGACGACGACGACGACGACGACGACGACGACTACGACTACGACGACCCTACCAGCACCAAGAAGTGCTGACTGCTCTCCTGGATACAAGACCTGATCACATGGGTTCGTCATGGGTACTAGTGAGTCAAGGAAAATGGAGGTGCTTACAGAACATTGCAGGTGAAAACACTGCACAAATCTTGCTCCTGCGCTGCACGGAACCTCTAGAATCTTGACCAGAACTGCAAGCAGAACCGCAATGGACACGCATAACGTATGTCTTTAAAATAGACTGCCGTCCCAACACCCTGAAGCCTCTCCAAAAAGAGACATCCAGCAAAAATCGAAACGGTATGGTAAACAAAAAAACCTCCTCAAGGCACCCTGCATGCTCTTCAGGGTGGTGTCGGAGATGGTCTTCCTGGGCGTTGGCGAGGAGACGCGATCAGAACACTTCGTTGCACCGAAACCGGGCCCCGGGTGTCCACGGTCTCAGACAAGTTTCAGCGCCTCCTTGGTGAAGAACGCCAAATGCCTTCGGCCGGAGAATCTCAGGGGTAAAGCCCTGCCTGGCCTGAACGTCTGCTCAAGGCACATTGCAATCCTGCAGCATGAAGTTTGGAAGGATCCCAGCACGGTTTGTCGTTGGGGATCCTGAACACCGAAACCCTCGAAAGGGTGGTAACCCCTTGCAAGCCCTTGCAGCCAAGGAACGGGGTCAGGATCACCTTGGCAAAGGCCAGCAAAGCGGGTGGTTCATGCGGTATGTCGGGGCTTGGTTTAGAAGTGAAGGGATTTCGATGTGAAGCTTTAAATTCTGTCAGGGCTGACTCTTTCCATTTGACTGCTTCAAGCGGCACGCGAGTTTGAGGTTCCGCTCTCTGCATAGGATTCGAACCGGAACCGACATGCTTCCAGAGCTTTCTCCTCTTGAACCCCAATGTGTGACATGGCCTTCATGTATAGAGAACAATGCATGCAAGGCAGCATGGCATGTTTATCAGGACAATCGGAAGCCAAGACGGCGTCCAAGCCACATTGGGCATGCGAACCAGCGTTGCTATGTTGTCGTCCGTAATGCAGCTGGTCGAGAAATCCCTGTGAACAGAAGCCGCGTCTAGTGTCAACGAAATCTGAAGAACACATCAGCAGTAACTGTTCATGTCGCCGGCAACATGGGCACGGATTGAAAATGCAACTGGCTACCACCGACCTCAACGAACAAGCCTGATGGACGCTACGGAGATCTGACGGAGACACGGGAGAAAGCTAATGACCAGCATCAGAACACGGGGACGAGCAAAATGCCCAGCCCCTTCGGCAACCCTAAACCCCAAAGTGCGGAGCGTCAGCGCAATGCCACTGTCTTGGTCTGCCAACCGGAACCTTCGAAGAGTCACATTCCCGTATCTGACGATTTAACCACCTCCACCTTCTCCGAAGAAGCCTGCAACGCTTGACCAGCCAAAAGTGGTCAAGAAGGTGGCTTTCGGAGGCTCCCCGTCTCTGCCTGAAGAAGTAGGGAGCTTCCCCTTCGACGACGTCCATTGCAGCTCCCCCAATGGTGCCGTCCTCGCTTCTTTGAGCTCGCAGGGTTGAAGGGGCGCTGATCTTCCGCTGCTGAGCTCTCAAGAGAATCTCAAAAAGAGAATCTCAAGAGAGCTGACTTAGGGAAAGTAAACAACGCCCGGCCCCCGTGGCCTTCAGACCCTGGATGAGCGCCGCCGTGTCGATGAGTCCGCCGCGAGAGGTGTTCACGATCATGATGCCTTTCTTCCTTAAGGGCAACAGTTCAGCCGGCGCCCAGTGGTCGACTTAGGTAGTCACTGCTGACAACATGTCTGGCCCAGCCACATGATCTTCAGCTTCTCCGCATTGATCAGGTGCTTCGTGGACGGTAACAGAGGTGCCTCCGTCGCACAGCTTTGACTCGGCGCACATCCTGGAGACTTCTGTTGTGCTGGCAACACGAGTAACTCGATGCGCACAGGTCCCAAAAGCAGAGAACTCGCCGGGACTTGAGGCTCAGAGGCTTCAAGGGGTGCAGGGCCAGTGCCGGGCTCAGGGGCCTAGGCGAGTTTATGGCTGAACTTTGACAGCCACGGCACATGAAGCGAGATGAAATCGCAGGTGGAAAGGACCTGAACTGGGGCCGAGCTCGGGGTTGCGGGACTTGGCTGCGTTCCAACCCAGACCTAGCTGTGTCGGCCACCAGTCTGCGCAGCATACTCAGAACAGGGAGCTCACGAGATTCGCAACAGATAAGACGCAGTTTGAAGAAATCTGAACACCTTGCACATGAATGCCGTTCAAAGATGCAGACAAACCCCGAGGAAAATCACCAAAAACCCGCGAAGGATTTGATGCTGCGGAGCCGTGTCCAGGTCGAGGTAGGGAATTCCCAGACCGTTCGGCGCAGGGTCACTGATCTTCGGATTCCTGTGTGAGCGGCGGGATGCAGTCTGGTTTCGTCTATGTCGGGGCCGCTTTCCTGCGGTTCGGCGTCTCATCCGAGTTTTTTCGGCTGCGCCTACCCGGCCTACCCCTAGTCCTTCGGCTGCGCCTACTGCGCCTACCCCGCCTACCCCTCGGCTTCGGCTCTTGAGCGAAGAGTCGGGAAGACGTCGTAGGCGACCACGTCACACTCGAAGCCCTTCTTCAAGACAGTCGCGGCGATCGTCCCGATCCTCAAATTGGTTTTTCTAGAGTCTCCACTTGCAGGCAAATGCATCCATGCAGCACCAAAGCCCCCGAGCCCCCGAGCCCCCGAGCCAACTCCCCGAGGAGCCAGAGACTCCCTGAACTCGAGCCCAAGGCCCAAAGCAGTCGGAGGGGCAAGCCGGTTCCGATGATGCCGACACGCTTTCGGTGCATGTCGCAGCCCAGCTGACCATCCTCCCAACGAATCCGCTAGCACTAGCCTTCTGGGACCTTGTCATGGAACAAGCTGCGAACTGGAAGCCCAAAACTCTCCAGATCTCACGGCCACACTTGAGGGCACCGTGGACTGCAAACAGCCTCGAAGCTTGCGACAGGAACGAAACCGACCCAACTTCTCACCCGTGGCTCCAGCTTGAAGTTGCCAAGCCGGCTGTTGCGATAGGAGTTGGGGATGCGTCGGTTCCTTGGTAAGGTTGGGCTTGGTCGCGCCAGGCGTGCACCGCAATGTTTGTTGAGCTTTGAATTTGAGGCTTGACTGATCTCCAGCCTGAAGCTCTGGATTGCAGCCCCAGCTTCAGAGACAGCATCAGCGCCACAGCATGCTCCCCGACAGCATAGGGGCCTAAATCGGATTGATGGCGAACGCGGCAGGCTAGAACCACCAAGCAAAGGAGTTGCTTATGTCCCTGGCACCAAACCGACCTGAAATCAAACTTGTCGAGAGCAAAGCGCAAGTCCATAAACGTTGTGGATGTCTCGCCCTGAAGATCCCGAGGGCCCTAAAACATCCGGATGCTGTGAAATCCGTCCCGGAGACTGTAGGCCGGCACCCGAGCCACTGTGACGCCGGCTTCCTGAAGGCAGCTGTGAGCTCGGAAAATGATCCAAGTTCTACTCCCCACTTGACCCCCCGAGGGCCCTGAGGGCCCAAGCCTAAGGCAGCGTGTCAGAAACTGCTCGGGAAGCCCCTGGGTCCGCTTTGCTGCGGAGGACAGCTCCCGGCCTTTGCCGCCTGGAGATCCACACGGTCGAAGCCAGCGCACCGCAGAGCAATGAGCTTCACACCCTCCTGCCGAGAAGATGAAGACGATGCCTAGGAGATTTGTCCCTCTCCTTCTTCAAATCCTGAAACCTCGACCGAAAAGGTGTCTAAAGTGTTGAGCCATTCTGAAAGCCTGAAACCCTGCGACTCGGCGGCCTCCGCCAATGCCTTGACCACATCTTCCCCTGCCGACTGGAAGGCTAAGGCGCAGGGCAAGGACCGAAAAGCACCAAACTCCGGAGCCCCTCGAAAGCAAAAAGGCTATCATGATAGAGTGCTTCGCGTCGGAGAGTGAGGAGGACATTGAACTCCCTGCCTGCGAAGTCGTTCACAAAGGTGCCTCAGGTCCGCAGACACTTCGCTGAGTCGCTACACCGAACATCAGTGTCGAAGACCAAGAGAAAGAAGACTGGAGACTCGCGATGCTGGTGCAAGCTCACAACGTCAAATCCCAGAGGACTCACGCAGCCCAGGAGCACACCGCCGAGCAGCCCCTGGCGCGGGACACCGTGTCGATGTTGAGCCTTGGCTCCAGGCCGTCGGGAGGAGAAAAGGAAGGTCACAGAAAAGTCTGCGGCCAACGAATGAGGAGGAAGGGAGGCACTTGGCCGAAAGAAGCCGGAGCGACATTGGCCCCACGGGGGAACTTGGTGAAGGGCCGAGCGGGCGTGCTTCAGAAGTAAGGGCTGCTTGCACCTGACGAATCAAGATCCGAGTCATGCACAACCTGATACGATGAACTCCGAAAGGCCTTTCAGGAGTCAGTACACCGAAATGTAGCTAACAAGTTCAGCATGCTATATAACGGACCGAAATGTACCAGCATGGGGTCAGTCCAAGGCAAAGGGCGGGTAAATGCAGGAGAGGTCTCCGCTTCCGACCTGCTAGAGCGTACCGACTCTCAGAGCAAAAGACTGGAAAGTTGACTGAAACTCAAACCTCCCCGGCAAGGCTCGGAAATGCGAAAGTAAAGGCATGATTCGAGATTTGGGGCGTCGGGGGCTGCAGGCCCGGAAGACATCGCCTCTGCCCTCTCCCTCTGTGCTTTGTTGCCGCTCGGGAGCTGCTCAGAGTGATATTCGAAGTCGAAGTTGCAGCCTAGCTCCTGAAGGCTTCCGAGGAGGGCTGACGCTCTAAGAGGCTTCAGGAAACGCAAGGGTTGACCAAGACCGGCTTTCTCTGCTTGCTTCCGATTTGGGATTGAGGTGTGGGAAGCAAAGGGAAACGGCATTGGAACTTGTTTTGGATGCAGGGTGGTGTGTTAATGGGTTAGACGGCTTGTCCTGCATCATCCCCAATGCAAGGAAGCCAATGCATCCCTCGCTCTGCTCCGAAAGGCGTCTGGGTGCACTCTCCCGGAGCCCGGAGCCTGATTGGTTCTGTCGAACCACTCGCGGTCGTACGGTGCACAAGAGAAGATGGCAACCTTCGGCTCAACTTCTGTTCTGAAGGCGGCTTGAGGGCTCTTGGCTGATCCTGTGCCAACGGACTTCCTGAAACCTCCCAGCCCCAAAACCACCCTCAAGGACTGGCCGAGGGAAGCCCTTCCTAAACATTCCGTGGCATCATGGAAGTCGCTTCGAAGCCTTGAAAGAACTTCGTCTCCGCAGCGCATGGACCTAGGTTTGGCAGTTTCTGGCGTGGCCTAAACTCCCACGCGCATGAACTTATTGTTCAAACCTGTGGTGACGGTCTTCAGGCCCACGGTGCGTGAGCCGCTACATGACATGGAAGGTGAACCAGAGGGCTCAACGACACAAACAGCATGATGATGACGATGATGCTGATGCTGATGCTGATGCTGATGCTGATGCTGATGCTGATGCTGATGCTGATGCTGATGCTGATGATGGTTTTAATAATAATGGTGATGACGAAGACGATGACGATGACGATGACGATGACGATGACGATGACGATGACGATGACGATGACGATGATGATGATGATGATGATGATGATGATGGTGCTGGTGTTGGCGATGGTGATGTTGTTGGTGATGGTGATGCTATGGCAAGAACAGTATCGAGTTTGAAGGCTGCGACGTTGGGCAATGATAAGCCTGCAGTTGACAAAGCTTAAGGCAGGTCAACCAACCAGCAATGCCACCATGACCACCCCATCTCAAGAATCACAGTCGTCGAAAACGACGATGATCACAGTCGTCGCGAGTGCAACAGGTACAATGCACATAAGGAATCATAATATAGCACACATGTCCCATCACAACAATCAGTTAGTGGATATTGATGTCAACAGATGCAAGGACGTTCTATTCCTGGTTTCCGTGGCAATAGTCGCAGTGCATATGCAACACAAACAAATCAGTCCTACCACAACAAGAAACGAAAGAATCAGCATGATAAAATCGTACTCACTGGAACCATCATGTTTGTAACTATACTTTAGTTCTCGTCTGTACACTGGTCCTCATAGCTTCCATGATCTTCGCAATTGCCTCAACTCGACCCTAGGACCCTAGGAGTTGTGACAACCACCAACAATCATCATAACCTCATCCTGAAAAGGCATGATGATCCGAAGTCACATGACATAGCAGCTTCTATGGCAAAGACTGTATCTTCTGAAAGTACATACTCATCATGAAAACCAAGACGCAGGTCCCAAACTGGCCGAGGCACGGGTGAGCGATCGCGGAAGAGCCATCCGACGAAGTCCTCCGGAGGCCAAGCGTCGGCTAAGACTTGCAGAGCAGATGTGCGACAAAGGCGTAAGACTTCCGGGAAAGCCCCCGCGCTCAGCTCAAAAACACAATTTGCATCCTCCACAAACATATTCGCGCACCGAAACACTCCCGGGTCCTTGTATTCCACAACATCTCCCCAGGGATGCAAGAGCGACTCCTCGCTTTAGCCAGGGAAAGCTCTGGGCTCCGGGGCTCGAGCGAAGGCTACGCGATGCTACGCGGCTACGCGCTCTGCTCTGCTGGGCTGCAAAGTGGCAATCTCGTCGTCGTGCCATGCATCGGGCAGGGCAGCTTTCAGAGCCTCAGCCGGGAGGCTTGGGAATCCCTGCGCTTCCCAAGACCTCTTCGGAGAGTGGAGCGTCCAAAACGACGCATCTACAAACCTTCTGGAAACCCCAACAGAAGCCCTAAAGTTTGGGAATCTTGATGAACTCTCAACCCTGAACTCAACAGAGAGTCAAAGCACCTTCGCGAGCAAGTCATGCTTCACGGTCCCGGTGCCTTCCAGGGTGTGGAACAGAAAGCTTATTGGGATGCTTCGTTAAGTTAAGCCCAGGATGGCACGGATGTTATTCAAAGCCCGGGCCTTGCAAAGACTTCAGGCTATGCGCTCTGACTCTGACCCCTTCTCTGCCTGCTTTGTCGACCTTCGCACATTGGGCGATGATCGCTTGCGCCATGGCCGTGCGCTCGACGGGGCTGTGAGGCAAAGGAGCCGAAATCATGCCTGCTTAGTCGAATTCTCGGATGGCAAGACCGAGCAGCTGGGACGTTGAGATGCGAGGCTGAAGTCTTGGACTTTAGACACGGGGTATGACGTCCAGGGCTTGGCGCTCACTCAAAGTCTGAGCAAGCAAAGCCCGACGGGAGCTTTTTGCATGTCACCGGCACACCCAGGGAGTCGTTAACTGCGGGCGGGATGATGACAACAGAAAGTCGCGACAGCCGTGCTCGTGCTCTCAGGTCGCTCCAAGCGTCCTGGCAAGTTCCAAACTCAACCGAGTCAGGAGCGCTCCGGTCCGGGGCATCCACGAGCCTCCTAGTTGTTTTAGGACACACGCAAATTTCTGCAGCCACCCTCGGCCACCACCGGGCCTCATCATCCAGGACCCCTCGTCATTGCGCTTTGCACCTAGTCTTCCAACCAAAAGGACCGAGTGGGCCTGCATCTACATTAGATGGATGCTTCTACCAGGCAGTGCAGTAGCTGTGGCTTGGTAACGAACAGAACACAAGGCTAAGACATGGCACGTGTTTCATGAGGTAACACCTGGGATCCTAATCGGACGTAACACCTGGGATCCTAATCGGACTTTAAATCATGTCGGGACTTTTTCGTCTGTTGCCGAGCTCTCTCCACGCGTGGTTCCTGCTTGAACTTTGGGTACGGGACAGCCAAGGCTAATTGTATAACGCATGGCCGTCGGAGATCTCAACTTCACTTCCACCTTCGAACGATTTGCCTGCACAGCCCTTCGCCTTGCATTGATTGACTCTGTAATTGCTGCATCCGAGGAATAACCTGTTCTTCTGCCGGCCGTCTGGTTTCCACTTTGGCTCTGTAGCGTGGGGATGACTGGCTGAAGCCTCCCGAGGCCTCCGCCGTTCCTCCATTGACCTGTGACACTGGCAGCTTCGTCTTTGGGGCTCACACAACATGGATTTATATCAGAAGCAGCTACCAAACCCTCACACATTCCGCCTCATAGTGGCAACACCGGAGTCAGCAAACATAAGCCTCGAGCCCAGCCGTCCGAAAAGAGACTTATCACAAAAGCCACTGGAAACATCCAGAAATCGTTGAACGCCAAAAGCTGTCGGTCAACGCCTCTGACAGCGGATTTCCAACTCTGCACGCTCTTCGGAGCTCAGTTCCTGCAACTCCTGCGGCCAAGCTCAGTAAAAATGGAAAGCCGCGGCACTTCGCGTTTTGAACAGTGTAGGCCTCCAAGGTTGCAGCACGGCGAGGTCTGAAACTATCGTGGAAAGACAGGCAGGCCTATGTGTTGCAACCTTTCTACTGGATTTCGCGCCTCTCCATGTCCGCCCACTCTGGCTAGCTTCGCCGTTCCCATGTCAATCCACCGCATGCCAACCCACTCAAACGGGAGGCTGAAAGAAGCAAGGTGCCGCTGGCCACAGTGCACGTGAACTGCTGGAGAGAACATAGCCGACGTTACATAACATGTTGACAGTAGCTTGCTTGAACTAACCTGCTGGCATGTGCCGCGGCGCCTGGAAATCGGTGAGGCAACAGATGCCATGCCCACTTGAGTGTACGATCAGCCAGCCGTGGTTTGCTGCCCTTCAGTGCCTCGCTGGCCCAACTCGGCCACCGTCCGCAAATACTGATAGCTGTCAGCGGCTTGGGTTTCTTCACCTATGGTCTTCCGCATCTCCTGCCTGTGGAGAGGCTCAGCTTCCTTCATAATGTCCTTGAGGGCTCTGTGGCGGGAGTGCCAACCCTCCCACCGACACCGGTGCCGGCGATCGAACTCCAGACCGCCAACACATGTTTCCGCTGTTTTGGACAGAATGTCCTGGGCAAGAAGAGCTGCAAAACAGAGCACGTCCTGTTTCTCGGATCTGCAGCGAGCTAACCCAGAAGACTTGAAGCAGGTAGGCAAGTGATTAGCACTCTTGCTAGCCCCCGAGCAGCGGGGGCAGGAAGGAAGCTTCGGACTTGGGCGATGCATAGGCTTCTGATTTCTGCCTTGCAAGAGCCTGGAAGCCACCCGGCCAGCTCATCTTCGATAAGCTGGTCCACATCGAGCTTCTGGTCATCGGCCGCATCACCCTCTTCGACTTGCACAACGACGTCGGGGATCCGCTTGGCATGTCCCTTTTGCTCTGCCTTCTGAATCTCCTTCTGTGCCAGCTTCGAAATAATTTCCATCTTTGCCTGCTTGGCCGTCCGGTATTTCTTCGCATGTTTCATCTCTCTCGCCTTCACCTGGAAGGCCGTCTGCACGTTGACTGCCACCTCCTCCAAGGCAATTGCCTTCATCAGGTTCATCAAGAACACGGTGTCGCCCTCTGCGATGCCCTTGCTCTTTGCCGCGATCTTGATAGCCTCATCTGCACTTGCCTTCGTGGCCGCCAGTTGCTCTTCATCCGTCATTCGAGTCGCAATGCCGGAAGCCAGCCCCTTCACCGAGCTCTCCACAGCACTTGCGAGGTCTCATGCATGACTCGGCAGTTCTCGGAGCTGGTTCTCCTGCGTCTGTTCGGGCCACGACTTCGGTGCTCTGCGACCTCGCATATGCCGAACCAACCGCATGGCCGTCAGAGATCTCAACTTCACTTCCACCTTCGAACGATTTGCCTGAACAGCCCTTCGCCTTGCATTGATTGACTCTGTAATTGCTGCATCCGAGGAAATAAAAGTTCGGCTGCCGGCCGTCTGGTTTCCAGCGCAGGATGCGGTCGGAATGGGAAGAGGGAGGGAGGAACTCTCTGCCTGGAACTGGCCCGCACCTACACTTCGTGGGGGACGCCCCAGCCGTCTGAGAGCTGAGCCCGGGCGATACCGGATAGACCATGCCCTGGGAGTACGGGTGCCAGACCGGTTGTGGGTGGTTGCTACAGTTTCGGGACATGCGCTATGCAACAATGCTCGAAATCTATGCCCCTTGGTACACAGGAGATTTCTGCTCCTGAGATCTAGAATCTAGGAATCTAGACGTTTTCTTTGAATGCCTGATGAACCTTCGCAACTTTTTGAGACCCTTCCTTCCCTGAAGCCATAGCCGCCATAGCCAATAGCCGATAGCACCTCTGCGTCCTACTCGCTGAGCATGTTTCGAAAGCCGGCTTCCGACGCAGGCGTGGTGTGAGATTGGGTTTGAGCTTCGGGTTTGAGCTTCCGGTGAAAGGACCCCGACAAGGACCCTGCAAGCCAAAAAAAAGCAGCCCAGATGTTTGCCATGTGCTTTATCGCTTTGCCGGAAGACCAAAGCCCCGCTCCGCCCTGGCCTCTTCTCTGAGGCCGTCTGTCCTGACCGTCACAGGGGCCTCCGCGCGCAGTGTCAGGACTCTGGAGCCGAAAGAGAGTTGGCGGGACATGATCGAAACTCCCGCAGAACCCTAGAGGCCCTAGAGGCCTCACAGGAGGCCCTAGAGATCCCTCTCTGCGATGGCGATGGCCTTCAGGGAAGGCGCTGCACCGTCGGAGCCCGGCCTGCCGAAGCACTCATGGCCATGATCGCAATGACGCACACGACATCCGAAGAGCTCTTCGAAGCTGACATCGCAAGACCAAAAAAAGAAACCGTCTCCGTAGAAGAAACCTACCATCCTCCACAGCCTGGACCCTTTTGCGTCTGCTGGGGCGGGAGTGCCTGAGTTGAGATGCGAGCTTCAGGGCTCACAGAGTTTGGAGTCGGTAAGGGTCCGAAGATTTAAGGAGTAAAGCCGTATAGGCCATGCGGGCGCATTCGAACGTGTCTGGTTTTGTCGATTGTTCTGCCTGGTTCGAGGTCTTTGCGGTCGGTCCACATCGACTGCTGTCTGCTCACTAGGTGCCCCGCTGGCCATGTCGTCGTGGCTGGTGTCCTGTCCTCACAGTTCCGTGCCCGGATTTCACACACAAATTCCAACTTCCCATTGGTAATATGATAACAGCATGGGGTGCCACTTACGTGAGGAGCAAACTGCATCTGTTTCATGTTTCCCGGTGGCACATGCAGCAGGTGCACCCGGCGGTGCATTTGCTCTGATTCGGGTCTAGGTTGGCAGAACTTGTTTTGACCATGACACGGAGCCCTCAATGCAACTCGACAAATACCGAGCCCCACACCTGGGGGGAAACGGATCAAATCTGCTTCCTGCCACCGAAGAGATCAAACGTCGGGCATTCGAAGCTGGGCTTTTGGCTTCAGTGAGTGCATCTCTTCGAATGCTGCCAACTCCCAGCCTTGTAGTTTGCGCGCGTGATCCTGGTCAGCCCGTCTTAAGGAGATCAGTTGGATCCTCCGAAGTCTTCAGCCTCCAAACCTCCACCGCCAAACCGCATCGATCACTCGTCATTACGGGGTGTTTAGCTTTCGCAGTTCGGTTTTGTAGCAGCTGCTTGCGCTTTCGCCGTGTGAAGGGCTTAGGGTAGTTCGGGTTTTGGGTTCTGGATTTTTGAAGCCTCTTTTCCCTCAGCTATCCGCGTCCGAAATTCCTAGTAGGAGGAGACAGTGCAGGACCTCACGCTCCTAACCACGCCACCAGTATCACGAACCTGAACACCAATCAACCGAGGCCTGATCCCGCACCAAAAGCAAAGGCCGAGAGTATGCAGTAGAGATTTGGATTATGTACCTCTGGTATATGGCACATGAAAAACCAAGCCTGAAAAAGCATACAGCCTGGCGAATTCTGATAAGTCGTGTGGATGCGACAGCAATTTGTCGGTGTTTGGGGTTCAGCACTCATCATCCCTAGATCCTAGCGGCATCCCAGATCAGTCCATCAAGCTTGAGCTTCAACTGTCTGAACTCCACAATCCTAACCCCTAAACCCTAAACTTTAAAAGCCCTAAACCCTAAAACTCTAAACCCTACCAAACAAAACAAGAAACAACACAACCCATTTCTTCAGTGCCAACTCCACACAAACGAGCGTGAACTCGGCTGCAATATGGGTAGGTTTATTTCTCTAACCACAACGCTTTGAAGTTTACCGACTCAGCTTCTGAGCAACACACCGAAACACAGAAACCCCCTTTGAGTACATCCTCCGCCCCCGAAGCCCCAAATCCAGGTCTTGGGGCTTAAGGGCTTTGGAGATCTTGCCTGTTTCGATCTCTCTCGGAGGACTTCGCACGTTGGGGGTGAAAGGCAAGGCAACTACTGCTGACAACCACCCATGAACCTTCACCTTCAAGTACTGGCGACACAGAGCTGGCAAAAAGATCGTACTTGAAGCTGCTGCTGGATAGCACAACATACAAACAAGCGGCATGCACAAAAAAAGTCGGAACCCCAAACCCAAAAAAACATTAACTACCATAGTAGTTCTGTAAGCTTGGGTCTTCAGGATGAGTCTGACAGAAACTTCGGTGCGAAGCATACCCGAAGCCTCGTGCTCTGAGCGCTTCACCCTATTCGCTCAGGTACTGGGAGCGGCTCGAAGACCATCTCCATGAAAGCCTGCGTGAGCATCAGGCTTTCCGTTGCAGGGCACCCCGTTGTGGCCAAAAGAGCTGGACTCGGTCGGACTCGCTCCTTCTTCTGCTCGGAGCCCGGCTCAAGTGCAAAGAAGTCCTTCTCCTCGAACTCGCCTCCGTGGCGCTTGAGCCTTGAGCCTGGACCTCCCGAGGCCTGGCTGTAGGGTCTTAAACGCGAGACATGGAGACCGACCATGCGCTGCTGCCGCGAGGCTTCTCTGCCACTTGACCTCCGGCTTCTTCGCGTACGCTTCATAGTTTGACCTCTGCAAAACCAGACCGTCATAGCACAAGAAGCACTGTTGTGCAGCACCTGCTGCGCACCGATTAGAGGCATCGACTTCACGTTGCAGTTTGGCATCACGTCGGGTGTTGGCCGGTGGAGATTCGTTGACAGGCAGACGGTGCGCGGATGCAGTTCGGAAGCCTGCAGAAGATCCCAAGACATACCCACGACACATGTAGCTTGCCAGTACATGAGCCTGCTTACCCTGACATCTCCTCATCCTCGTCCACACGTCACGTTCCGAAAGGCCCATGAAAACTTCTCAGCATCAATCTCTCGCCAGAGAACTTGTTTCGGGGCCACTGCGAACAGCCGTAAGGGGCAGGCTGCAAAGCGTACATGGGATCATCCCAGGTCCACTTCCTGGCGGCTGCATAGTGGTGGCGCTGGTGGTCATGCTGATGATGATGAGGGCAAGGCGGATCAGCATGACAATGGTGAGGTGGAGGAGGTGGAGGAGGAGGAGGAGGAGGAGGAGCAGGAGCAGGAGCAGGAGCAGGAGCAGGCTGAGGAGGAAGAGGAAGAGGAGGAGGCCGAGGGTGGGTGGATGAGGAGGAAGTGGACCAGCAGGGAAAGAGGAGCAGTATAGTGACGACGATGATGAAGAATGTGACCATCATGATTAGACTGCTGCGCGGTCTGTTTGCGTATGCCACCGGGTGGATTCCTGGAACCATCACGCGCAACATCACACAGTTCTCAGACACGGTCAGAACAGCTCACAGCGCACTTTCAGAAACAGCCTCCAACACTAGAAATGGTTGCAAACTGTCGAACCTGTTTTGATGTTCTCTGACAGCTATCCAAAGTCTAGAAACTGGGGAACCACATGGGTCCTGAGATTGATGTGAAGCTTCTTGAGAAACAAACGCAGAGACATTTTACTGATGCTAAACACCCGGCTACTCCAAACGATGGTGATGATGATGAAGATGGTGGTGGTGGTG